GATTATATTTGGCAAATGAGGAAACTCCAAGATGAGAAGCAAGCATTAAAAATGTGCCCAGCATGCCCAGCTGGTGTGACTCAGTGGCTGAGCGTCGACCCATGAACCAAGAGGTCACTGGTTTGATTCCCAGTCAGGGCACATGCCCAGGTTGTGGGCCAAATCCTCAGTGGGGGGCATGCAGGAAGTGGCCAATCGATGTTCTCTCTCATCGATGTTTCTATCTCTCCCTTCCTCTTTCTCTAAAAATCTATAAAGAAAAAAAAATTTTAACCTCACCAAAGAGCTCATAATTCAAAATTACAAGACACACAAGGAAATAATCTACCATGTCAGCAGAAATACTGAATAGCAGAAGCAGTTCTCCTAAGAACTACAAATCGTGGAATTACTGGACACTGTTAGCAGCCAGACTCTAGGGTGGCTCCCATGAACACTGTGTCTCCTAGTGGTCATATCCTTTTGTAATCCTCGCCCCTGCCAAGTGTGGGTCTAATATATGGCTTGCTTCTAACCAACAGAATATAGGAACAGTGATGAGACTTATGTGAGCACACATATGTGATTATTTACATAAGATGGTTATGCCATCTTACTAAGAAACTCTCTCCTTTGCTGGTTTTGGAGAAGCAAGCTGCCATGATGTTGTGAGCTGCCAATATGGACAGGGCCACATAGCACAGAGCTGAGGTGGCCTCGAGCTGACAGCCAGCAAAAAAATGAGTCCTTAGTCCAGTGGCCTGCAAGGAACTGAATGCTGCTAACAACCACGTAAGCATTTGAAAACAGGTCTTTCCCATTCGAGCACTGTATGAGAGACCAGCCCTGGCCAACATCTTGATTTACAGCTTTGCAGAGGACCCAGCAAATCTGTGCCCAGACTCCTTATCCATATAAACTGTAAGATGATAAATATGTTTTGTTTTAAGCCACAAAGTTATGATAATACTGTTATGCAGGAATAGATGAATAACACAGCTATAGACTATAATATATGTTTCAAATGCTTAAAGAAATAAAAGAATAAATGAACATGAAAACATAAGACAAAGAGAATAAACACCAGGAAGACTGGAAAAACACAAATAGCAGATTGAAATCTAAATAAATAATGTATGAACTAGAAAACAGATAAAAGAAAGTTGATCTATTTCAATTTATAACACAAAACACAGATATTAAAAGATGGAAAAACTTGAAAGAGAGATATAGGATTGAAAAACATAAACACTGTCCACACAGGGAATTGAAAATGACAGACCAAAGAAAAAAGAAGAAAGGCTAAAAGAAATAATGGCTGAGGATTTCCAGAATTGATGAGACATGATTTCTCATATCCTAGAAGCAACTTCGACCCAAAAAAGATAATTGTAGTAAACACACTGAGGTGACTACAAAGCACCAAAGTCAGAGAAGATCATAGAAGCAAACATTGAGAAAAAGAATCCATCCTCAAAGGAGCAATAATAGCAATAGAAACCAGAAGATAGTGAATAATATTTCCAAAATTCTGAGAACTTGTTGACCTAGGCTTCTATATTCAGCTAAATGATCAATGAGAGCATAAAACAGATATTTTCAGACCAAAAAAACCTGAGAAAATTTTACCACAATTAAATTCTAATTAAAAAACAAACAAACACTAAAAGATGTTCTTCATAAATTAAATCCCCAAAAAGGAATGTGATGCAAAATCAATGGTAAGCAAGAAAATTGTGTGTGAATAAATCTACACATTATTTAAAAAAAAAATAATGACTGCATGATGGATATAAAATAAAATTTAAAATGCTATAAAAATAATATGTAAAATGTAAGAGGTATGGTAGAATTAAAGTGTTCTAAGATCCTTCACTTGTTTGAGAGGACGATAAATATAACAATTAATTGTGTGCTTTGTTAATTTTAGTATGCATGTTAAACTTGTAAGAATGAAAACAGAAAATAGAAGGAAATAAAATGTAAACCATTATTACCACCCACATCTTACGAAAGACAAAACTGAGGCTTATTAAAGTGACTGACTTGACCACGTTTACCCAGCCGATAACTAGTATAATGGGACTGAAATTCATGTGTTTCAATTGCAGGTTCTGTGATTTCTTTTTCCTTCTATGTCATATAGACTCTGATTTAGGTGATGCATGAATATAACAATTGTTACTCTAATGTTCATGGCAATGAGGCAAAAACCTCACAGTGCTGCAAGAATATCTTTATATTAATAGATCTTTGTGGTAAAAGTGCTGTGGATTTACCTAGCAATCCTCTTATTTCTCATTTCTATTTCATTCTTACCTACCCTCTGACTCATTAATTCCTACATTCTCTACACTATTTTTCTCCTAGGCTCTACTTTTTACTGTTTTTCCTCTCTTTCTCCTTCCCATTAAAAAATATTTTTAATTTTGTACGTGTGTATGTATACTTATATGTAAATATGGATAATATTTATGAATAATACATGTTTACTAATTTTTTTAAAATCCCAAATGTATGTGTTGAGAGTGGCAAATTCTAAAGTTGCATAGTTTTTCCTGGGATACAGTTTGTTTGGAAGATTTCTACAAAGATGGACGTTACCAATACAGTGGTACCAGGCCTGCGTCATTCCACTGTAGAGCTGTACCACTGAAGCAAGTATGTTATGTCAAAAAAGCAGCAGGATTATCTGGGACTCAGTCTAGGCTCTAAATCCGAGCAGTGATAGATGGTCGGCTGGCAAGTTGTTGCCAGAGTTAAAGGCTGCATCTCTGCATTATAGTGGTGATTCTCTTACTCCTTGCCAAACCATTTCGATTAGTTTCTAACTACACCATTCTATTGAAGCCATGCCAGAAAATCTTCAGGGTGTGCCCAATACTCTAGTTCAAACTCCTAGACCACAGTTAGTCATACTAAATCATTGTCACTGACCACCCCAACCCCCAATCTAGCTTGCCTACAGATATTTCCACAATACTTTTAGAGGCAATAAAACTTCAAGATATGTAATCTGCTTACTAGCATACATAAAAGCATGTAAGCCTTTGGAATAAACTCTGGGTCTTCTACCATACAACTTGTCAGATGTATAAAATCAAGTTCATAGCAACTCTGATTATATTCTGCCATTGGCATTATCAATCCAAAGATCTATATTCTAGCTGTACTGTTAAAGAAAGCCATGGAACATTTCTATTATAAAGGAGTGAATGGTACTGCATACTGTGAAATAAATCTATAGATTGTGGTATTAGAAATCCTTGTATCTAGAGGCACATACATCCTGAATAATTAAAACCTAAACCAATTTAGATAATTGTTCCACTAACCAAAAATTAAATAAACTAAGCAAGTAAGAAAGCAAACAAGTAAGAAAATATCACATGATTTTCTTTTTATTTTCCCCTATTCTCTAAAAGCCAATTGTTCCATTGCTCCCCTCCACTCACCCCACTTTGAGTCCCCAAAAAATAACCTAGAAAAGAAGAAAAAGTTTATGGGTCTTGATAACCCCCAAACAGAATAGTCCATCTCAGAATGACTAAGACTTGACTGCATCCTGTTTCACAATTATTCATTGCCTGTTGAATAATATCATTACTAAGAGTTAATAAGTCTACTAAGCTCAAATACAATTTCCTCTTTTATAAGTGCCTGGAAATATGGTGGTTAAAACAACAACAAAAAAAACCACTTAACTGAGCCACTGAAGATTTTTGGAGTACACTTTGTAGCAGTGAAAACATAATAAAAATAATGGATGGTACTTTAGCAAACAGGGGCAATAGGTTAAGGGGAGAAGGATAAATAGAGAATTACAGGTAAAGGATTAACAAGCAAAAGAGCTAACTGTGTGGTCTCAGAAAATGGTACTGGCAAATTAAAGATATAATTTCATGATTTAATGAGCCAGAGCTGGGCTATGTAGAACTGAAGGCCTTATTCTCATGGTGAAAAGTACAAAGTTCTGTCAGCTGATTAAGGCCAGAGTCAGGGTGGTGGAAGTAACAACAAACATCCAGCAGTACTCTTGGATGTCCTAAATAAGATTATAGCAAGGTAATAAATAACATGACAAAGCTAATCTCAGCATTGTCAGGGAGAGTTTCTCTGGAATGGGGTTATTTCAGATTTTAAGGACCACCTAAATGTTTAACAGATATAGAAGTGATTAGCAGTTTTCTAGGCTTTCTGACTTCTCTCCATAAGATCAGAAGAACCTGAGAATAAAAAACTAAAAAAAAGTCAGCTAGAGTCATAATTTTATTCCCTTTCGTTCTTACACGAAGGAAGGAAGGAAGGAAGGAAGGAAGGAAGGAAGGAAGGAAGGAAGGAAGGGAGGGAGGGAGGGAGGGAGGGAGGACGAGCCACTCTCTCGGTCTCCCTTCACAGAGTCCTCTGTTCTACCTCCATTTTTTTTTCCCTTCCTCTATTTTGCTTCAGGGAGGTCTTGAGATAGTCTTTTCTCCACCCTCTGAGTATCTTATATCACATGTAGCCCAGAAGCCCAGGGACGACATAGGGCCTACACCACACAGAGTCAGTCAACATTCTTTCCCGCCCTTTACATGGTCAACAGCATAAGTGTATCCAATAGTTGATTTCTGCAGGAAGCTCAGAGAACAGCTTTGTCAATGCCTCTGCTCCCAATCACTTCAATGATGCATTACAAATCCTCCCTCAGGGTTCTCTTTTAAATCACTCATGACCAAACAAGAAAGGCATAAATAAAAGAATAAAAAAAGAACAAAGATGGGGTGTTCTTTATTGGAACAAGTATTGGCAGGAAAAAGAAAATAAAGCAAACCAAATAAAATAGATAAAATTGAGCACCAACAAATCAGATTACAAAACAATATTCTGCTGACATTTAAATAAAGTAATCCCACGGCAACAATTTAATTGTGGCCTTTGTGCTTGCACTCCCAGATTTCTCTTTTTGGGGGCTGGACACAACTTTTCATTTATCTGTATAGTCAGAGCTTCACAGTGAACCAATATTATTTACTACTTACTTGGGCTTGCTTGCATACTTTAAAAGGGTGAAGTGTTTCTTGGTAGAAAAGCTGATGATAAGCCTGTAGGTCAAACCAGAAGTACACACTGTTCTTCCACAACTGCAGATGGGAAAAGCATGTAAATTATTACCACCCAATTATTAAAGCTCTACAAAGCTCTAATTTCAAATATAAATAATTATTAGCTTCTTGGTGTTATCATAAATCAGGTTCAACTTCAGATGGTTTTATATTTTATCACAAATTGGGAACATTCAAAATAGTTACTGGTGTTCACTAGAACATTATATTTTTGCATGCATACTTCTCATATAATTTGTCATTAAAATAATAAGTGTACTAGTTAACAAAGAATAATCACATACTTCTGGCATAAACCCAAAATCTAAACATATTTTGATATGTATGGGCAAATACACATATCAGAACCAAACACTATTCTTCATTTGAACCAGTGAAATACTTTTCATTTGAACAAAGTGAAGACACTGAATTTTTTAAAAAATTAACAAGTTTGCCACTACCCATTGTAATTTGCCATTGTTATAATTATTAAATATAAAAGTGTAGGATTGATAGAAATCAACTCTAATATAATATATGTTACATTGAAACAATGTTATAAGAAAATAAACTGTAGTTAACAGTGCAAGTCAATTCTTATCTCTCTGTATTTTACTTTTCCTTTTTAATTTTAGTAGGATACTGAACCAAAGAAAATTATAATTGAGATGTTTAAATTTTTGCTAAATATTTACTATGAAATTTCTTACCAGAGATGGGAATTTTAACATAAAATATAAATATTTCAGCATTGAATTATTTCAACCTTTCTTATTTTAAAATGAAGTAAAAGTATAAAATTATATTTAAAATAATTATTTTCTACCTTATTCCCTGAATTCTCACAGAACTTAGTAAAGAAGAATCCAGCTCTATTTTCTACATACAAAGACTGCAACAAATTTTCCATGTCAAATCCTCCCAAGGCACCATCGACCATGGTTTTAACCTAGATAACAAAACAGAGGACCATTATCCACCCAAAACATTGTAATTTTTTATGGCATTGTACAACGGGTTTCATAAATTCTGCCAGGCTGTCATTTCCCCATTGGTTCTTTCTATCTTAAACCAACCTGATCTCAAGCTTAATGTTAAAATGACTTCCCAACCTCAACTATTTTCTTGTCTCAGGCACAGTGATACCATTTTAGGAGTCTTCCAAATCACTGTTGGTGGCCTCTTTTCTCCATGTTTACTATTATTTTAGCCTTGAGGTGCTGCTATAATAGCTACAAGAGAGTTATAAAAATAACTATCTCCAAGGCCTCCCAATGCTGCTCATTAACAGTCTTTAGAGGGAGGGGCTACTCTCTGGATAGTCTCACCCCATTCAGGTCATGGACATCAGAATGTGTAAGTTCTCATAAAACTGCTATTTATGGGCTTCTCTGCCAATAATGCTGGCAACCCTAATACCATTCTTGAAACACCGAAAGCTGGCTATTTCTCCAAGCACAAGAGTGATTCTAGAGTGCAAAAGGGCATCTATGTTCATATTAACTCTTTGCTATTTGTTGTGTAGAATTCAGACTTCTTTATAATCTTAAGATAACTGCAGCATAAATGATTTAGTGTTTAAGTAAGGTTCTTGCTCGCTCTGTTATAGTGTCTCTGCCTCTCTCTTTATTACCCTACTAAACAAATTCTGAGGTGAGAATTTAATGTTTTTATGAAGTCTAACCATTGCCATTCCAAAACTAAAATATCATTATTTTGTTAGAAAAAGTATCCTAATTAGAAGAAAAGGAGAACTGTTTGCTTAGAATAAAATAGTTATACAAAATTATATCTAAGTGTTCAGACTATGTCAGGACTACCAAGGTTACTAGCTAAAGTATAATCCTTAGGGTATGTGAAATTTTCATCTAGAATTGGTGTGCTATATCCACATTTTCAAGGTAGCAACACTACAAAAAATACCTCATAAAAATTCTAAGCTTCCAAAATACAACATCAAATATTATTTTTGTATCAAGTGTTAAAAACTTAATAAAAATCCTACAGGGCCTTATTTTGTATTTGAAGTGTCCTCATACCAAAACCAGAACACAGCTGTTTTTGAAAAGAGTAATCAATGGAATATATAGCAACATGGTACTGCAAAAGGAAACACAGAAGAAATGTTTGTGTAAAAATTATTTTGCAAGGAAAAAATAAAGTGTGTTGTTTAGTAAAGAAAAAATGTTATGATAAATCAATACAAATTCTCTAAGATCAAGGGACATTGATCAACTAAATAAGGAATCAGATTAATCAGTCCTCAAAATACTTACCAAAGGTTCTTCTGTATAAGTGTATCTTCTATCCAGCTGGGGCTTCCGACATTCAGAAATGTCAGTAAAAGATGTTAAATGAATAACTCTGCCGCTGTCTGACATATGCCTTGACCTAAATTATAGGGATGAGAACTAACTGATCAACACACATATTTTCAGCACCTTTGGTGTATATGTGACCACATCTCAGCAGTGCTTCTTAGCATTGTAAGATAATTAAAAAAACAAACAAACAAAAAACACACAAGTATAAGCATCAGGTCCAGTCCTGAAGAATTAGATGAGAGAATGTGAAGTATGTGGAAAGAAAATGTTCAATAAAATAACTGCTGGTTGAATGAATTCAAGAATATATTATAGTTGTCAAATGACTGAGATGGATAATAAATACTATGAGAGTATAAGAATAAGTCCCTTGGAGCTATATTAGTAAGTAAAGAAATGAGACTTTTCCTGAAAAAATGGATAGGAGATGGGTGTGTGTGTGTGTGTGTGTGTGTGTGTGTGTGTGTGTGTATTTACAGGAGTTCTTTGCATAGGGAGAATAATGAGCAATATGTAAGCAATATATAAAGGTAGGAAGAAAAATCTTGTTTAAAAGGCAGCAAGTTAACTAATTTGCTTAGGGCAAGAAGACACCAGCAGTTAAGTGAACACTATATACTACAATATAATTCACATGATTATATCTGACACAATAAGGATTTATATATGGTAGTTTGAGGTCAGATAATGGAAGATTTTGGAGTAAGATTACTTAGGACATTACTATTTTTTATATATTTTTTCGTATTCTGCTCCCTCTCCCCTACCCCACTACAATGATTCCAACCTTACTTTCCATATCTGTGAAACATATTTGTTCATCTCACAAACCTAACTCCACTCCAGTCTACCAGCAGATTACTTTGCAGTTTCTTCTCAAAGTATAGGTAAAGAATGCTTCAATTTTTGCTCTAGTCAGTATTCACCCATTTAGCAGATACTTTTTTTTTTTTTAATTTGAGAAGGGGGGTTGTAGAAGGAGAGAGAGAGAAACATTGATTTGTTGCTCCACTTATTTATGCATTCATTGGTTGATTCTTGCATGTACCCCGACTGGGGATCAAATCCTGCAACCTTGGCATATCTGGGCAACACTATGACCAGTTGAGCTATCCAGCCAGAGCTTTAGCAGATACTATTGATTGATTAGCTAACTCTACACCCCATTCCCAGTGACATGCTTCTATAACCAGAACCACAGAAATACCACAAAAGCTAAATACTCACTTTCCAAGACTCCCTTGCAAAAAGTGGCAGTCACGTAATGTAGTGGTGACTAATGAGATATAAAATGAAGCTGAAGAGCTTCGAAGAAAGCGTGCTTTCCTGACCAAAGACAGAGGATTAATGAAAATTGCTCTTCCTCTTTTATCATTTGAAGCCCTGATGTCAGGAGCAGTAACATCACTGACTATGAAGAAATGGCCAAGAGTATTTTAAAGATTCAGGCCTTAATACTTCTGATCCAGTGAATCAATACCAGCAGTTTGCCTACCCTTAGATTTCTTGTTCCATTTGTCTAGGTCATTTTTATTCAAGTTTTCTGTTATTTGCAGCTGAACTCATTCTTAAACTATCTATCAACAAATATATTCATCTACACCCATCCTTACTTCCTTCCATCCTGTTTCATAAAGAAGTATCCCGTCTCCTGTCCAAGGTTAATCTCTTTGCCTTGATTCTTGAAGTTTTTCCTCTATTCTCCTTTAAAAATAGAGAACTTCTTTTTTATGTATCTCCAATTTTTCTGTTTCTTTTAGATCCTACTCTAAGCATATCAACAGGCTCAAGTCTCCTTTATCTTAAAAAACCCTTTTTCCAGTACCGAAAATAATCAAGTCACAAAGGAAGAGAACAAGAGAAGAATAAAGAAATTATAAAACAGTGAGAAAAAATTAATAAAATTACAATTATTTCATAGCTGTCAATAAGTACTTTAAATGTAAATGAACCAAATTCCCCAAATGACACAGACTGGATGAATGGATTAAGAATAAAACCCATTTATATCCTGCCTACAAGAGATTCACTTTAGATGTAAGAACACACACAGACTGAAAGTGAAGGAATGAAAAAAGATATTACATGGAAATGGAAATCAAAAGAAACCTGGGGAGCTATACTTATATTAGATAAAACAGACTTTAAGACAAAGACTATAATAAGAGACAAAGAAGGTCATTACAAAATGATAAAGGGGTCAATCCAACAAGAGGACATAACATTTGTAAATATTTATGCACCCAATATTGGAACACCTAAATATATAAAGCAAATATTAACAGACCTGCCCTGGCCGGTTTGGCTCAGTGATTGGAACGTTGGAGTTGTATGGGTGGCAACCAGTCGATGTGTCTCTCTCACATCGATGTTTCTCTCTCTCTCTTCCTCCCTCTCTCCCTCCCGCTCTACCTGAATATAAATGGAAAAAAAATGTCCTCAGGTGAGTATGAAAAAAATAATAATAATAAAATAAAAAATGAGCAAAAAAACTACAGTGAGATACCATACCATATAATTAGGATGACTAGTAATTTAAAAAATCAGAAAATAACAAGTGTTAGTAAGAACATGGAAAAAATGGAACCTTTGTACACTGTTGTTAGCAATATTAAATGGTACAGTCACTGTGGAAAACAGTAAGGCAGTGCCTCAAAAAATTTAAAATAAAATTACCATTTGATTCAGCAATTCTACTTCTGAAGATACACACAAAAGAACTGGAAGTAGGGTCCTGAAGATATTTTTACATACATGTTCATAGCAGCATTATTCACAATAGCCAAAATGTGAAAACAACCCAAGTATTCATTGATGGATGAATGATTAAGTAATATGTGATATACTTACATTATATGTATATTAATATACTATATATACAATGAGCTATTATTTAGCCTTAAAATGAAATAAAATTCTAAAATATGCCACAATATGAATGAACTCTGAGAAGATTACACTGAGTAAAATAAGACAGTCACAAAAAGTCAAATAATGTATAATTCCATTATACAAGATACTTTTTCAACATCAAGACAAGGTAAAATGGTGGTTATCAGACCTGCAGAGAGGAGGGAATGTATTGTTATTGTTTAATGGGTATAGAGCTTCAGTTTTACAGGATGAAGAGAGTTCTGGAGATGGATGTTAGTGATGACTGTACATTACTAATATATTTTGTACCACTAAAATATAGTTATTTTACCTCAATAAAAATTTTTTTTAAAAATCAGAGATATAATTTCAACATTCAACATTGCATTAATAAAGAGTATCTAAAAAACTAAGCATCATGTTTTATGGAATGGAGGGCCCTGTTTAACTTCTCATACATTTGGTTGGCAACCACAAGGGCTCAAGCCTAGGAGTAAGCACACAATGGAAGTAAACCAATACTTGCACATATTGCAGCATAACTTTTGTCTTTTTGTTTGCTCAGGAAAATCCCTGTAATGAAGTTGAGATTATCCTAGATTACCAGTACTTGAGTAAAAAAATAAATAAAAATTATTCCATAAAAATGTCAACCTAAATGTCTAATTCTACAAACAATATTTCAAATAGAAGGTACAGCATAAAATTAACCAATACAAGACATAAAAGCAGACAAGACATCCAGAACAAAATTCAGCTTAAAACAGAACAATGGAGATTCACAGAAGTTCAGATATTAAAAATATCAGACACAATTTTAAACAACTATGATTAAGGAGATTAAAAAAAAGACTGAGAATTTCATCAGAGATTTGGAAACTATAAAACATGTCATAACAAACCTAACAAGAGGCAAAGATAATTATAGAAATAAAAAAATACAATAACTAAAATTAGGAATATCAAATGTGAATAAAAACAAATTAGACACAATTGAAGAGAGAAACAGTGGACTGAAAAATAAGTCAAAAGAAAATGCTCAGAATAGGATGGAACACAGAAGACAGGGTATGAAAGAATAAATTAAGAAGGTCTAACATACATTTAATTGGAACCTCAGCATGAGAGAAAATGAAGAGCAACATTAGAAGAGATAACAGCTGATCATTTTCTAAAACTAATGAAAAACATCAAAACTACAGATTCAATAACCCTGAGTTGGATACAAAAAAGTAAACCCACAGCTAAACATATTAGAGTAAAACAATTTTTTAAAAAGGTATTACTAAAGTGGCTGGAGAAAAGACATATTATCTTCAAAAGAACAATTAGCCTCCCCCCTCATGCATGGGTTCTCTTTTCACAGCTTCAGTTAGCCATGGTCAACTGTGGTCTGAAACTATTAGACAGAAAATTCCAGAAATAAACAACTCATAAGTTTTAAATTGTGTGCTGTTCTATAAATAGCATAATAATATTTCATGCTGTCCTGCTCTATCTGATCTGGGATATGAACCATCCTTTTCTCAGTATATTCATGCTATTTGTGCTATCTATCTGTTAGTCATTTACTAGTTGTATTGGTTATCAGATTGACTATTGTGGTACTGTAATACTGTAAAACCTATAGTTTACTTAACAATGGCCTCAAAGCATAACAAGAATGATGCTGGCAATTTGGATATACCAAAGAGAAGCCATAAAGTGCTTCCTTGAAATGAAAGAGTGAGTAGAGAAGAATAAGTAAGATATTTTGAGAGAGAGACAATATTTATATAACATTTACTGCAGTATATTATTATAATTGTTTTGCTTTATTAGTTTTTGTTGTTAACCTCTTACCATGACTAATTTATAAATTGAGCTTTATCATAGGTGTGTATGTATGGAGAAAAGCATAGTATATATATATAGGATTCCACACTATCCAAGCTTTCAATTATCCACTGGGGGTCTTGAAATGTATTTTCTGTGGATAAGGAATGACTACTATATTTAGACATAACACTGAAAACACAAGACAACAAAATGACATCCCAAAGTGCTGAAAGAAAATAAGAACCAATGTATAATTCTACACACAACAAAAATATTTAGCAGCAATTTTTTTTTTATCCTCACCCGAGGACATTTTTGCATTTATCTTCAGATAGAGTGGGAGGGACAGAGGGAGGAAGAGAGAGAGAGGCATCAGCCTGAGAGAGACACATTGAGTGGTTGCCTCCCACATGACCCCAGCCAGAGCGAGGGACAAACTGCAACCGAGGTACGTGCCCTTATCGGGATCTAAACCCAGGACTATCTGGTCCACAGGCTGATGTTCTAACCAGCCAGGGCTATTTAACAGCAATTTTGAACTGGTGTGCCACAAGAATTTTTAAAACATTTAATACCTGACTATTTCATCAGGGGCACTGACCTCTTTTTCTTTAAGTTGTCAAATAAGTTCGGCCAGTGTGGCTCAGTGGATTGAGTGTTGTCCCACGAACTGAGAGGTCCTGGTTCCCTTCCCAGTCAGGGCACAGGCCCAGGTTACGAGCTCAATACCCAGTAGGGGGTGTACAGGAGGCAGCTGATCCATGTATTTCTCTCACATCGATGTTTCTATCTCTCTCTCTAAAAAAAGTCAATAAAGCCCTGGCCAGTTTGGCTCAGTGGTTAGAGCGTCGGCCTGCGGTCCAGAGAGACCCGGGTTCAGTTCCCGCTAAGGGTACGTACCTCGGTTGCGATTTGTCCCCGGCCCTGGTTGGTCGTGCAGGTGGCGGCCACTTGATGTGTCCCTTTCACGTCAATGTTTCTGTCTCTCTCTCTCTCTCTTTCTCTCTCTCCCTCTATCTCCCTCCCACTTTATCTGAACAAAAAATGGAAAAACATCCTCGGATGAGGGGGGAAAAAAAACGGCAATAAAAGCATTTTATTTAAAAAGCTTAAAAGTAAATATAAAAAATAATAAATTTTTAAATAAAAAAATGACAACAGCTAACACAACAATGGTGTGAATGAATCCAAATTAAATCTATTTTTTTGTCTGATCAGCAAAAACATATTTTTGGTGTGCCACAAAATTTTAGCAATTAGTTTGTGTGCCATGCAATGATAAAGGTTGAAAATCACTAATATTCAAGAATAAAAATGACCACAACATAAATTAACCTTGAAAACATTATGCCAAATGAAAGATGCCAAAAACAAAAGGCCACATATTGTATAATTACGCTTATATGAAATGTCCAGAATAGACAAATCCTTAGGGAGAGAAAATAGATAAGTGGTTACCAGAGGCCAGGGGAGGGAGAAATGAGGAGATTAATAATGAGACAGTGCTTCTTTTGGGGGTGACAAAATGTTTTGGAATTATATAGTGGTGATGGTTTCATAACTTTGTAAACATACTAAAAATTACTGAATTGTACACTTGAACATGACTAAAATGGTAAATTTTTTATGTGAACTTTATCTCAGTTAAAAAAAAAAAAAAGCAATGAAAGTGAAGTGATAAATGATTAAACACAGAATTATTTACCAGCAGATCCCATACCAAAGTTAATAGCAAAGAGTATTTTTTTCAGACTGAAGAATAATAGTCCCATTTTAAAAATAATAATAAAAAAGATAACGATGTGGACCAATCTAAATGAATTATATATGCAGTGTTAAATAATGACAATATTCTTGAGAGACTTATGAATTCTCAAGTTGGAGAAATATTAAATTACTAAACAGGGCAAGTAAGAATTGGAAAGCAATCTTCTCAGAAAAATCTGATTGAATGGCTGCTAAGAAGCTGGAGATCAGAGAACCACCTCTTTAAAATTACTAATCTCAGTTCTATACCTAATTTAGAGTATCCATGGGAAGTATTAACCCTCAAATATCTACCACTAAAATGTAAGAAACTTTGTAAAAAAAATCAAGTAGTGGTTTTCAATTTCTATTTTTTTCAATTCTTAGAAAAGTCTTACCATTGTAGAAAAGCACTTGGCACATAGAAAGCTGCACCTACCCAGTCTCAATCACGCTATCTTTAGAAGAAATTGGATACCAAGTCTCTCTCTTCCAAGGTCTTTGTAGTGCTGTAGAAGATTTCTTGGGAGATTTAGGAGGTTGTACTAAACTGGATTCTTCTTTCTAAAATGTGGTAAAATAATGAGCAAAGTGAAAAATGAGCAAATTGAGAAAAAGGGTAGAGAATAAAGTATAGCTCTGCACATATTCATAAAATTTGTTTTGATCACTAGAGGATTTCTTCCCTCACTCTACCACCTACTATGCTTCCCACTATAATAAAAATGTTCTTTTTTCCAAACTCCCACTTTTATGAAACCAGCAAGCTGATACCCCTATAGCTATTTTTTTTTGCAAAGTTTATTTCATTTTTTCCATCACCATTTATCCCCCCTATATCCTCTCCCACCTGCTCTCAACACCCTCCCCCCTGCATGGGCACAGATAACAGTCTGGTGATTGACAGGGGGATGTGGGTGGGGGGAGATGGAGCAGTGTATAGGAATCATAAATAGTGATGGATGGAGACTCATTGCTCACACAATACAGTGTACAGATGATAGGTTGTGGAATTGTGCATCTGAAACCTGTATAATTTTGTTAATTAGGGTCACCCCAATAAATTCAATAAAAAGAAAAAACAAGTTAGCAGAACAGAAAAGTATAAGTGTGTTAAAACTAAAAGTTCACAAGCCGAAGAGAAAATAAACTAATAGCTATCTAGAAGTATGTAAGATCAGAATGATTTGTCTCTTCAGTTTCTAGGTTTACAGTAGTTTTATTATTTTTGTCATTTGAAAAATGAGCATAAACATTTTTTATATGTCAACTTCCATTAGAATTAGAATGTAATATATGTTGCTGGAGAGCAAGAAATATATTTGTGATGTTTTACTATCCAGAACAAATAACAAGATCTTACATATTGGGTGTCCTAAAAAATGTATACACACTTTCAATAATTATAAAGCCAGTGTTTATTAAAATATATTTCATCTTCAAAATGTAATAGAATCTGCAGACACCCTGTATACATTTTTTTGGTATATTCTGTATATACACTCTAGGTACCTAACAACTGCTAATATTTTTTAAAGAATTCTATAAACAAAATACATTTTTGTTTTACATATAACTTCCTAGGTATCAGGGATCACATCTGTTTTAGTAATTCAGAATACAGCATGACATTAAGCAGCACTCAATAAATAAGTGGTACCATAAGTAGCTGAGCTTATTAAATATGTATCATACAATGGAAGCAACCAAGGTGTCTACCCATACATAAAGAAGATGTGATACATATATACAATGTAATATTAACCATAGAAAAGAATGAAATCTTGCCATTTGTGACAACATGGATGGATCTAGAGGGCATTATGCTAAGTGAAATAAATCAGAGAAAGAAAAATACTGTATCATTTCACTTATATGTGGAATTTAAAAACTAGACAAATAAAACAATCAGAGTCATAGATACGGAGCACAAACTGATAGTTGCCAGAGGATTGTATGATGGGGGGATGGGCAGAAAGGTGAAGGGGATTAAGAGGTACAAATTTACAACAAAATAAGTCACAGGGATGTAATGTACAGCATATGAAACACCGTCAATAAAATCGCAATAACTTGGTATGGTGATAAATGGTTACTAGACTTCCCATGGTGATCACTTTATAAGGTACCTAAATGTCAAATCACTATGTTATACACCTGAAACTAATATAATATTGCATGTAAACTATACTTTAATTAAAAAGGGCTTTACATTCCCGAATTTTAAAAAATTTTAAGTGTATCATACAAAAGTGGTCAAATTCATTGAAACGAAAAGTAAAGTGATGGTTACCAGAGGTTGAGGGAGAAGAAAAGGCAGTTGTTAAATGAGCACATAGTTTCAGATTTGCAGGATAAAAAAAGTTCTGGAGATTTGTTTCACAACAATGCAAATATACTTACTTTTAAAGTATACATTTGAAATTGGTTAAGATAGCAAATTTTATGTTATGTTCTTTTCCACAATAAAAAATATTTCTTGAAAAGTCTGTAAGTGTATTATTCAGTAGGAGAAAAGCCTCAGTCAGAATGTTTGAGCTTCTGACTCGCGAGAACTGGAAGAGTAGTGGAGAGTAACTGACGGGGAAAACACCTGACAAAGGGCACTGTAGAATAGGGGTAGGGGGAAATGGAAACATTCTATATTGTGATTGTGATGTAGTTACACAGTGTATACATTTGTCACAATTCACAATTGGACACTAAGTGGACACTAAAAAGGGTGAATTTTATAGTATGTAAATTATACCTCAACTTTTTAAATAGGAAAAATGAAGAAAACAGAATTGAGTTCTAGTCCTTAGAGTGTTTTCTGCCGAGGAAAGAGAGAGTGAGATCAGAATGAGTCACCCAACTAGAAAATTTCAGTGACAACATACGATAATAATACTCAGGAAACCAAAGAGAACCAATGAGAGGTCATAGTCATGTTTATACTCTCTTCCACCTTACCTCTCAAATGTTGTACAAATGGTAAATGTTTATATGTTATCAGATGACATGTTCCCTACACTACACCTCTAAGATGTGTATTGCCTTGGTGATTGGGTCACTAAATTACATGGACTAACAGGGAAGATTAGATTTATCAGTGGAGTGGCATACAAAACAGGCCACAAGGTCAAAGGTCAGAAAAATGTCAAGGTAACAAATAAGAAACCAGTAGTGAACTAAAGTGACACTATCTCAAAGTGTGGTTCCCAGACTAACTGCAAGAGCATCACCTGGGAGGGAATTTGTTAGAAATGCTTTGCATTTCCAGGTGGAACCCAGGAACCTGTTTCAAAAGCTCTTCAGATGACTCTTCCATATGCTGAAGAACCAGCAGCCTAGAGCAGTGCTTTGATATAAATCACCCAGATATCTTACTAAAATGTCACTTCTAAAAGATGATTCTAGTGTTCAGACCGGTTGGGGACTTCGGTTCTAAGCCAACTCCCTAATTTTACATAGTGACTCTGACCCATTCCAGATCAATTAAACCAGAATCTGTGGAGAGGGTTCTGGGCATCAGCATATTTTAAAAGCTCTCTATGTGATTCTAACTCCTAGGTCCCTAGGGTTAAGAGACCACAGACAGAAAAACTCTAACTTAATCTCTCACATCTCTCCAACTCTAAAACACTACTTGTTGAAGTAAAACTATACTATACATCTTTCTGCTTTTAAAACAAGATATCCTGAATATAATCTTTAAAGGGGTTGTTTATGACTTTGGCCAATAACACTTAACATTCTGTCACGTTTAAAGGCTACTAAGATTAATAAAGCTCTTTATTGCTGAAATGCAGATCTTAGCTACAGTTACTGCATTTCTGTGCCAATGAAGCAGTATTTACTTCTGTATAAAGTTGGTTAACTTTTCTTCTCTTTTTGGACTTTTTTCCCTTATCTTTTTGTACTACTTTAATCTTCTCCAGTGTGGAAGAATGATCACTACTTCTAATTCTGCTGTTGCTACTTCTTACTCATTTATTGAATTTATATTTGTTAAGCAACTATTATGTGTCAGGCACTATTCTAGGCACTATGGATGCATAATTAACAAAGAAAAACCCCTTATATTCTAGTAGGAGGTAAAAGACAATCAATGATGTGGTCATAAGTACAATAAAGCAAAATAAAGCAGAGCAGAGGATGTGGTGATGGAGGGCATGGTGCTGTCCTACACAGGTGTGCTTCCATGGAAGAGTCAAAGATAGCCTCTCTGAAAAGTGACAACTGAGCAGACACCTAGAGGGAGGGAGGGAGGGAACAAGCCATGTGGGTATCTGGAGGAAGGGTGCTCCACATGAAGGGAACAGCAAGTGTGGTGCTCCTGGATTTTTGCTTGGTGTGTTCAGAGAAAAGCAAAGAGGCTACTGTGGTTGGAATGGATTAAGTTAAATAAGTATGGTAGGGAATGAGGTCAAGAGGTTAGCAGGGACATGTACAGCTGTATAAAGACCTTGAATTTTTATTCTGAGTGAGACAGACAGGAGGCCACCAGAGAATTTTGAGCAGGTGAGTGACATGAACCTGTATTTTTGTTGTTGTTGTTAATCCTCACCCAAGGATATTTTTCGTATTGATTCTTTTTTTTAAAGAGAGAGTGGAAGGGAGGGAGGCAGGGGGAGAGGAGAGGGAGAGGAGAGGAGAGGAGAGGAGAGGAGAGGAGAGGAGAGGAGAGGAGAGGAGAGGGGAGGGAGAGGGAGGGGAGGGGAGAGGAGGGGAGGGGAGGGGAGGGGAGGGGAGGGGAGGGGAGGGGAGAGGAGGGGAGGGGAGGGGAGGGGAGGGGAGGGGAGAGGAAAGGAAAAATCTTTCTTTCTTACACCTGCATAATACTCCACTGTGTATATGTACCGCTGCGTTTTTATCCATTCATTTTCTGATGGACATTTGGGCTGTTTCCAGATCTTAGCTATTGTAAATAGTGCTGCAAAGAACATGGGGGTACATATGTTCTTTCTGATTGGTGTTTCAGGCTTCTTAGGGTATATTCCTAGAAGTGGGATCACTGGGTCAAATGGAAGTTCAATTTTTAATTTTTTGAGGTAACAACATATTGTTTTCCATAGTGGCAGCACCGGTCTGCATTCCCATCAGCAGTGTACTAGAGTCCCCTTTTCTCCACACCCTCGCCAACACTTGTTGTTTGATGATTTGTTGATGGCAGCCATTCTGACAGATGTGAGGTGATACCTCATTGTTGTTTTAATTTGCATCTCTCTGATGATTAGTGATGTTGAGCATTTCTTCATATGTCTCTTAGCCATTTGTATGTCCTGTTTGGAGAGGTGTCTATTTAGTTCCTCTGCCCATTTTTTAATTGAGTTCTTTGTCTTCCTTTTGTTGAGTTGTTTGAGCACTCTATATATACTGGAAATTAACCCCTTATCTGATGTATCGTTGGCAATTATGCTCTCCTATACAGTGGGTTGCCTTTCCATTTTGATGATTGTGTCTTTTGCTGTGCAGAAGTTTTGAGTTTGATGTAGTCCCATGTGTTCATTTTCTCCTTTGTTTCTGATGCCTTAGGTGATGTATCAGTGAAAATTCTGCTGCATATGATGTCTGAAATTTTGTTGCCTACAGTTTCTTCTAGAATTTTTATGGATTCTCGGGTCACATTTAAGTCTTTTATCCTTTTTGAGTTTATTCTTTGAACTTGTATTTTTAAAGGATCACTTTGGCTCTTTGGAACAGCAGATTATAGATTTTCTTATTTCCTAATTGTTACAGCATGTACATTAATAACAACAAAAAAGAGAGAGCAAGAGAGAGAGAAGCTTATGATGAAACTTAAGAATTAGTGTACAAAACCCAAGCAAGGACATTTTACTATAAACTTAATAAAGAGATCAAAGCATCCATACCTGCGTATCAGATATTTGTGGAATGCAAGATTTAGGTCTTAATGGCAAGAGGGTTGCTATTTGTGGAAAAGGGTCAACATCCTTCCTTGGTTTCTCTTGACGGAGATGCCACAATTTCAGTTCAGTACTGGCACGTTTTGTTGAGTGTGAATGAGTAACACAGAATCTTGGTGCCCTAGTTGAGAGGAAAAGAAATTTAAGATTCAACTGTACAATAAGTTTCAAAAATCACGAGTTTACAAAGTGTATAATACTTATGCCCACAATTGATGTCTTGTCATCACCTTTTCTAAATTCATACTTCTTTTTCTGCTGCCCAGCTTTAGAAAGACATTCCCCTGATACATCATCAACTGCCTGAAATCACATTCATTCATATGAAGAGGCTTCTCATATAAAGAAGACACTCATATAAAGAAGAGACATAATTTTAAAATTACATTCAAATTATCATCTACATGATAAGAAAAAGAATCTATATACCTATATGATAAAGGAAAATTTAAAACTAACTTACAGTTTCTAATAAAATGCACCTGTGATCATTTTAAGATAGTTTAGTATTTACTTACAGTACCAAATAAAAACTGGTGGATGAAATTAACACTTTAAAATATATAAACATTTTATACTGTTAAGTATACTGCTAAAGTGGATTATGATTCATATGATTTATTTTCAAATTTGAAGGTAAGAATTAATTTTACAATGATTTATGTAAATGAAAGACCAACATTACTGCCAGAAACTTAGAGCAAAGAATGTTTGGCACACTATTAAGTCCACACTTAATTGGCTGGATATCGTGGTATTCAATCTGAGAGTTAACTCTTCATTGGCTCTCAGGGTAACTCCAACTGTCAAGGACAATTACTAATTGTTGGTTTTCCCCCCAATGCCATAGCTCAAAGACTAATTCCCACTCCATATTTCAGATCCTGAGAGAAAACTACCTCCCATTAAAACAGGAATAAGGTAAATATTTCCCTGATGTGAACATAGGTTGGGAGTGGAAGAGAATCCAAAATTAATAATTAGTTTAGGGTCAGAAAGCACCCTGTATAGATCTGGGTGGTTACTCTACATTATGTTTCAGAATTTTACTTGGGAATATTCAAATTTATCTCTTATTTGCATGTCAACCAGTAAGTGGGCATATATACAAGATCCTTATCGAACAGACTGTACATGTGCTGGCCAGGAAATCCTGGTGTCTCAATTTTCTGATTCCCATCACTACGGCATATTTATATAACCCATGAGTCTCTGCTACCCCTACCACTTAAATCTTGCATTCTTATTTCATTCATTGCATTAATTTGTATTAGCTACTATGTGAATTTATCAAATATTATAGAATAAATTTCACAGTCAATCCTAAACTACTGTTGTATTACTTTTTCATGCTTCCATCATACAACTTATCATGTACCCTGGGTTATACACATCTTAATTCTCAAGCTCTAGAGCATAGAAGAAGATATTTGTCACATAAAACCATCAAAGAAACAATATTCAATGTGTGTGTGTGTGTGTGTGTGTGTGTGTGTGTGTATCTCCCAACAGAAAAATGGGACAAGGAGAAAAACAAGCAATTCATGAAAATTGAAATCCAAATTATCAATAAACATTGAAAACGTTATCAACCTCACTAGCAGTCAGGGAAATGCAAGTTAAAACTACAAGACATCAATGACACACTATGCACAGTGATAAATGTTTGAGTCTGACCAGATTAAATTCTACCATGGATTTGTAGCAATTGGTACTCTCATATTCTGTTTGTGGGAGCATAAGTTGTTAAAACTACTTTGAAAAAAATGGATATGTATACAAGAATATACATTACTTGCAGTTGTAAAAAGTAGGGGAAAACCCAAATGTAAAAAAATGGCAAACAAATTATGGTATATTCAGGCAGTGGAACATTATATATATATATATCTCAATAAAAATCAATAAAACTCAAATGCAATTACAGAGGAATCTTACAAATGTTGATAGAGGACACAAAATAATGTGTACCATATGATTCCTTTTATATAAAATTGTATAGCAGGCAGGTGAAAATATACGTTTAGAGATTTATTTGCATAAATGGTTGGTAAAACTATATAGAAAAGCAAGATGATGATAATCACAAAAGTCAGGATAGTAGAAAGAGGAGTGCCCTTAGGGGTCTTGGCAATGTTATATTTCTTAGTCTATGTAGTGGTAACAGAAGTGTTTGCTTTATAATATTCATTGAACTGTTTATGCCTCAGTTTGAAATTTAAAGAATGCATAAGGTTTTGCTAGATCAATAAAAAATGGTAAGAGAGGATCTGGGAAAATGGCAATGTCAGCAATACTGTTTTTCTACCTCTCAGAATCCCTTCATAAAATCAGACATCCCTTGTTGGGTAACACAGTTGGTGAGATTGTTATCCATATACATCAAGGTTGTGGGTTTTATCCCTGGCCAGAGCACATACAAGAATCAACCAATGAATGCATAAATAAGTGGAACAACGAATTGATACCCCTCTCTTTCTCAACTCATTTTTTAAAAGAACAAACAGGACTAGATAGCAAAACCAAATACTCATGGGCAAATTTTGTTGTTGTTAATCCTCACCTGAGGATATTTTCCCATTGATTTTTAGATACAGTGGAAGGGAGGGAGTAGGGGAGGGAGGGAGAGAGAGAGAGAGAGAGAGAGAGAGAGAGAGAGAGAGAGAGAGAGACAGACTCATGCTCTAACTGCTGAGCTAAACTGGCCAGGGTGTCATGGGAAAATTTACAACAAAAATGTTAATAGGACAAGGTATCCCCACAAACACCAAAATATAGGCAGTAGGGTAGAGACTGCTATTAGTCATAACACCTGCATGGCATTGGTGTGCAGGCGAGGGAGGAAGGGTGTGCTGGACCTGAAAATGGAAGAGCAGTAGAATAGCACACCAGGCCAGTTTGAGAGAGCAACTGAGACTGCAAAGGCTTTTACCCTCTCCAGTACTGAGTGAGTATGCACAAAATCCAATCATAGTTCTATTTACCAACAGTAAACAACTAGAAAGCCAATTAAAAAAAATTAACTATGTATATAATACATACAACAATTTGGATACATTATGCTTCAATGGCATTATACTGACCAACAGAGGTCAATCTCAAAGATTATATACTGTATGATTTCATTTTTTTTTATCCTCATCCGAGGACATTTTTCCACTTTTTGTTCAGATAGAGTGGGAGGGAGAGAGAGGAAGAGAGAGAGAGAGAAACATCGACGTGAAAGGGACCCATTGAGTGGCTGCCACCCACACGACCAACCAGGGCCTGGGACAAACTGCAACCGAGGTACGCGCCCTTAGTGGGAACCGAACCTGGGTCTCTCTGGACCACAGGTTGATGCTCTAACTTCTGAGCCAAACTGGCCAGGGCTGTATGATTTCATTTACATGACATTCTCAAAAAGATGAAAGTATAGTGACAAAAAACAGATCAGTGCTTGCCAGGAGTTAAGAGTGAAGGAAGAGTGTAATGACAAAAAGGTGGTATGAGAGATTTGGGGGTGATAAATTGTATCTTGACTGTCATAGTGCTTATATGAATTTATACAATTCAATCCCACTGTAAAACGATAGAAAAGAAGGAAAGACATAGGATAGCCTTTTTGATTAATGAAGATAAACAAGAAAAAAGATACCAAAACACCTAAATCTCACACCTAGTACGATTAACTCTAAATGGACCACAAACTTCAATGTAAAACTTCAATAAAATAATAAAGATTTTAGACAAAACACAGGGGGAAAATGTAGAACTAGGCAAGAGTGCTTAGGTTTGACACCTAAGGCATAATCCATAAAAGAAGTTGAAAATTTGGACCTCATCAAAATTTTAAAATTTTGCTCCATGAAAGACTCCTTTTTTTTTTATTGATTAATTTTTGTTACAGATGATTCTTTTTCCCCCCACTGATTCCCCCCTCCCTCTCCCCTCCCTGCCCCTTCCCCAGATTGTTGTCCATGTCCACTGTTCATGCATACATGCGTATAAGTTCTGTGGTTCATCCCTCCCCCACCTCCCCACTCCTTAGGGGATTGTCAGTCTGTACCCCGCTTCCGCATCTCTGGGACTACCCCATTCCTCAAACTGTTATGTTCATTATATTCCACAAATAAGTGAGATCATATGAAATTTGTCTTTCTCTGTTTGGCTTGTTTCACTTAGGATGATACTTTCCAGGTCCCTCCATGTAGTCTCAAAGGATAAGAGATCTTTCTTACTGCTGCGTAGTACTCCATTGTGTATATGTACCACAGCTTTTTGATCCATTCGTCTACTGATGGGCACTTGGGCTGTTTCCAGATCTTAGCAATTGTAAATAGTGCTGCTACAAAGATGGGGGTACATATATTCTTTCTTATTGGTGTTTTATGCTTCTTAGGGTATATTTCTAGAAGTGGGATCACTGGGTCAGGGGACATACCATGATCACAAAAGACTCCCCTTTTTATTTGTCTTTCAGATTTAGCTGTTACTCTTAATAGTAGGTGCAGACAGTAATATTTGGCATAGGAATGTTTGTATTAGTTGAATAAACTTGGCTCAAGGGCTACTTCCCCTACCCTCACGAAATGTTTGAAGAAAAACTTATCTGGACCCCTTCATTTAGAGACAGCCCCCAATACACCACCCTCCCAGGGAAAATCCCACATGTGATTAACCTCAGAACTTCTCACAAGTTCTTTTCTTCCTTGGCTTGATGATCTTCTGTCGTTCGGTTTGTCCTATTTTTTTGGCAAATTCCAGTCTTAATAATTGAGTGTGATCATTTGAGTGAAAGTTGCATTTTCCATTTGCACCTCAAATTTCAGTCCATCACCACAGGGTTCAATCTGTTCTCCTCTATATTTGTAACTCTCTTTCACATTAATGAGAATTCTACTTCCCAGTATCTACAATACTTGTACTTGTTTGCTTAATCTAGATATCGGTGCATTAGAAAGGATGTGACTCAGGAACAGCCAGGTGGAAGAGATGCACAGGGCCAGGTGTGAGGAAAGTGTGTGGAGCTTCCATGCATTTTTTTTAACCTTCCTTATGACTCCTCCTTTGATTTTTATTGTTGTTAATTTTTAAAAATTAAATTTGTTGGGTGACCTTGGTTAATAGGGCCCTATGGGTTTCTATGCTACAAGATCTGCATATTTTACGGTGTGCCCACCACCCAAAGTCAAATCTTCTTCCATCACCACATTTTAGGTCCCCTTTACCCTCCCACCCCCTTCCCTTTGGTGACCACAACACTGTTGTTTATGTCCACGAGTTTCAGTTTTATATCCCAAATGGGAGTGAAATCATATGGTTCTTAGCTTTTTCTGACTGACTTAGTTCATTTAGCATATTCTCAAGGTCGGTCCATGTTGTCGCAAGTACAAGTATTTCGTCTCTTCTTGTGGCTGAATAGCATTCCATTGTGCATATGTACCGCATCTTCTCTATCCAATTAAAGGGCACTGGTTGTCTCCATATCTTGGCCACCGTGAATAATGCTGCAATGAACATAGACGTGCATATATCCTTGAAAATACATATTTTCGAGTATATATGCCCAGGAGAGGGACAGCTGGGTCATATGGTAATTCTATTCTTAATTTTTTGCAGAATCGCCAGATGGTTTTCCACAGTGGCTGTACCAGTCCACATTCCCACCAGCAGTACTCTCTGAGTGCACCACTCTCCCCAAATCTCCACGAGCTCACCAACCAAAAGATCTGAAAATCCCTTTGAAATTTTTGGAAGACTAGGAGAAAATATTTGCAAACTACATATATGACTAGGGACTAGTATCTAGAATATGAAAATAACTCTAAAATCCAGTAAGAAAGAAAATAATTCAATTAGAAATGAACAAAAGCATGAATGGATATTTGACTGGAGAGGATATGCAAATAAATGTCAGATAAGCATGTATAAAGATGTTCAGCATCACTGATCATTGTAGAATTTCTAAAATAAAACCACAATGAGACATCACTGCACACTTATTAGAATATCTAAAATGAAAAGTTATGACAACACTAAACAATGGTACAAGAAACTGCTAGTGGAAATGTAAAATGATACATCAACTCTGAAAAACAGTTTGGCAGTTTCTTTTAAAACTAAAATGAACTTACTATATGACCCACTAATCTCACTGTTGGACACTTGTCCCAGAGAAATGAAGATTTATGAAGAAATGAAGATTTATGTGTACATGAACATTCATAGTAGCTTTATTCGTAATAGCAAAGAACAAGCCTAATATCTTTCAATGGGTGAATAGATATGTAATATCCATATAGCAGAATATTACTCAACAATGAAATAGAGCCATTGTTACACACTACTTTGATGGATATCTAGGGAATTATGCTAAATGAAAAAAAGATGATGTCCCCAAAATGACATATTGCATTATTCTATTTATATAATTGACAAATGGTTTCTAGCAGTTACAGATGGGGAGAAGGAGAAGGAGGGTGGTGGGCATGGCTTTAGGAGTGGTAATGTAACTGTTCTGTATTTTGACTGTAGGCAAATTCATGAATCTCTGATAAAAGTGCATGGAATTAACTATATGCACACACAATAAGTGCATGTAAAAGTGGTAAAAATGTGGAAAAGATTGGTGAATTGTAGCAATGTCAATTTCTGCATTGTAACATTGTACTACAGTTATGCAAGATGTTATCATTAAGGAAAACTGGATGAAAGGTACACAGAATTTCTCTTTATTATTTCTTATATCCAAATATGAATCCAAAATTATCTCAAAATAAAAAGTGAAATTTTTTAAAAAAGGAAAGTTTCTACTATATTAGTAATGTTTTGTTAAGTTGACTGGTGAGTACACAGATGCCCACTATAGTATAATTTATACCATTCTGTATCTTAAATATGTTTTTTAAAGAGAAAAACAGCATTCTATCTATGGAATTATACAAAGCATATAAGTAATATGGAATACCTAAGTGAGAGATGATGACAGAGAAGTGGGTAAGGGACAAATCACAATGACCTTACTTGCTAATTTAAGGAATCTGAACTTTATACTGAAAGCTTTGGGGTTACAACTAAAAATTTAAGCTAGGTGACATAAGACCCATCACAGCCACAATGGACAGCTCACTGATCCTCAAATGGCTCACCTTTTCTGTGTCTATTCTTTTATTCTTGTTTAGAGTCCCTTGAGCCCCTGTTGAAATACTACCTATTTTCTGTATTTTGTGGAATAACCACATTTTATTTATTTATTTTATGAATTAATTTATTTTTGTTACAGATGTTTCTCCTTTTCCCCCACTGATACCCCCTCCTCCTCCCTCCCCACCCTATCCCCAGGTTTGTTGTCCATGTCCATTGTTCATGCATACATGCATATAAGTTCTGTGGTTTATCTCCCCCCAACCCCCTCTTTTGGGGATTGTCAGTCTGTACCCCACTTCCACGTCTCTGGGACTACCCCATTCCTCAGACTGTTATGTTCATTATATTCCACGAATAAGTGAGATCATATGATACTTGCCTTTCTCTGTTTGTCTTGTTTCACTTAGGATAATACTTTCCAGGTCCCTCCATGTCGTCTCATAAAATAAGAAAAAAATCTTTCTTTCTTACACCTGCATAGTACTCCACTGTGTATATGTACCGCTGCTTTTTTATCCATTCATTTTCTGATGGACATTTGGGCTGTTTCCAGATCTTAGCTATTGTAAATAGTGCTGCTATGAACATGGGGGTACATATATTCTTCCTGATTGGTGTTTCAGGCTTCTTAGGGTATATTCCTAGAAGTGGGATCACTGGGTCAAATGGAAGTTCAATTTTTAATTTTTTGAGGTAACACCATATTGTTTTCCATAGTGGCAGCACCGGTCTGCATTCCCATCAGCAGTGTACTAGAGTCCCCTTTTCTCCACACCCTCGCCAACACTTGTTGTTTGATGATTTGTTGATGGCAGCCATTCTGACAGATGTGAGGTGATACCTCATTGTTGTTTTAATTTGCATCTCTCTGATGATTAGTGACATTGAGCATTTCTTCATATGTCTCTTAGCCATTTGTATGTCCTGTTTGGAGAGGTGTCTATTTAGTTCCTCTGCCCATTTTTTAAATTGAGTTCTTTGTCTTCCTTTTGTTGAGTTGTTTGAGTACTCTATATATTTTGGAAATTAACCCCTTATCTAATACATCATTGGCAATTATGCTCTCCCATAGAGTGGGTTGCCTTTCCATTTTGATGGTTGTTTCTTTTGCTGTGCAGAAGCTTTTGAGTTTGATGTAGTCCCATGTGTTCATTTTCTCCTTTGTTTCTGTTGCCTTAGGTGATGTATCAGTGAAAATTCTGCTGCGTATGATGTCTGAATTTTTGTTGTCTAAATTTTCTTCTAGGATTTTTATGAATTCATGAGTCACATTTAAGTCCTTTATCCATTTTGAGTTTATTCTTGTGTATGGTGTAAGTTGATGGTCTAGTTTCATTTTTTTTGCATGTAGCTGTCCACTTTTCCCAAAACCATTTATTAAAGAAGCTGTCTTTACCCTACTGTATGCTCTTGCCACCTTTGTCAAATATTAATTGAGCATCTTGTCTTGGGTCCATTTTTGGGTTCTCTCTCTCTTCTTTTTTTTATCCTCACCCAAGGACATTTTTCCACCTTTTGTTCAGATAGAGTGGGAGGGAGAGAGAGGAAGAGAGAGAGAAACATTGATGTGAAAGGGACACATCGAGTTGCTGCCACCTGCATGACCCAACCAGGGCCAGGGACAAACTGCAACCGAGGTACGCGCCCCTGGCAGGAACTGAATCCGGGTCTCTCCGGACTGCAGGCCAATGCTTTAACTGCTGAGCCAAACCGGCCAGGGCTGGGTTCTCTATTATGTTCCATTGATCTATCTGCCTGTTCTTGTGCCAGTACCAGGCTGTTTTGATTACAGTGGCTTTGTAGTATAACCTGAAATCTGGTAATGTGGATTCACCACATTTTAAAAAATTATGCTTATTCACATATATGTTTCTCCCAACTAGACTATAACCATGAAACTTGACCACATTTTACTCTGTATCCTTAGCACAACACTTGGCTTATACTGTATGTTTAAAAAATGTTTATTGAAATGATAAATCTGTGACTCTAGCTACATGTACACACACACACATACAACACATCAATTTGATGACATATCAACCATAAAAAGGTCAGGTGCTCCCAAAGTTAAAATGGAGCTTAAGTACTGTTAACTTATTATTGTCGTTTTAAATTTTCATAAGTTAGATATTTTTTAAAGTATAACTTGTAACTAGCCTAAGAAAAGTGAAAGCAAGTAACTGAATCACATTATTTTTCTTACCAATACAGAAGTAAGGGTTTCATAACCTCAGGCTGAATATTTTTTAAATGTTCTTTATTCCACTGAGATCCATCTAGCAGTTTAAATTTTGTTAAGATTTCTGTAGAAAGGTAGTGATCTCCACTGCTCACTAGATAGCATTTTTTCATCCTCTCAAGATGCCTGCAATAAAACACATACACACATTGATGCAATAGTCAACTAGCCAACTATTTTCACTTCTAAAATGAACTATCTCAAAACCAATGCTAAGATACAGTTGTACCAATGTGGAGATTCAAGTACTTCTCACAGTTATGGGAATAAGAAATGTATTTTTGACAGGTTGAACAATTGGCCTTGCAAAGATGTCCATGTTGTAATCCCCAGAACCTATGAATGTTGCCGTACCTTAGAAGAGATTCTGCAGATGTGATTAGGATTTTGAGGTTATCCTGTGTTAGCTAGGTAGCCCTAATGTAATCGAAAGGTTTTCTAAGAGAGAGGCAGGAGCGTCTCAGAGCCATAGAGAAAAAAAGACGAGGATCAAAGCAGAGGTCAGAGAAGAGAGAAGACCGTATGCTGTTGGCTTTGAATATGGAGGAAGGGGCCAAGAACCCAGAAAAGCAGGTGATCTTCAGAAGCTGGAAAAGGCAAGGAAATGAATTCTCCCCTTGGGCCTTCAGAAGGAATATGTCCTGCATATCCATTTCAGACTTCTAACCTCCTTACTGTAAGAGAATACATCTGTGTTGCTTCAAGCCAATAAATGTGTGGCAATATGTTACATGAACAATAGGAACTAATACACTATTGATCCTGAAGAACTTATGTAGGTTGCTTGCATGTAACTTCCTAATGTCTAGAAAAGTGGCAGTGGCCTTCCACCCTAGCATCAGTCAGGTCATGCTTCATAATCAACCATTTGGTAACCCCTGCTCTTACAACTATGTACAACACTGAGCTCTATGATCTCAATGCCATTGAAAAAACTGGAATAAACCAGTCACTAGTACACACTCAGTCAAACCCTTTGTGGGAACTGAAATCTCCTAGAGTTCATCTGCTTCTGAGCAGATCAGGAAAATTGAAACAAGATAAGGACTCTCCTAAAGCAGGGTCCTCCTCTTAGGGTTCTCAAGACTACACTAGTGAAAAACATACAGAGCAGCCAAACAAAGACCTGTGCCCCATCAGAACTCCAAGGAACTCTCTCTCTCGAGGATATCCAGTATGGTGTTTGGCAGACAATCTCATTCAGATATAAATTTCTAAGTGATATCCAATTAAAGATCATGGAATTTCTTAACCAAGCAGGCTGCTAGGAAGAGCAGGCCCTTATATTGTCACAAGGTTATCATTTATATAAGGTATCTTATGCCAGTGTGGTATATAACTGATCATTTTTTCCATAAAAATATATCACTGAAATGTTATAAAACTAACATAGAATGATTAATTTGGAAGCAGGTTCAGAATCTATGGGAAGAAACTTATGCAAACCTAAATAATTGCTACCGTTAGTATCTGAAAGCTTTAAGTCATAGAACTAATGAAGTCAATATTACTATAATAAAATAAATTTTATTATTCGTTCCTCTAAAAGTACAAATTACATTTTTATATTTATTTCAGGTTTTCTGCCTTTGCAAAAAATGGCCCAAATTAATATTCTACAATTTATTTTTAAAACTACTGAAAAAATAAAAAACAGTAATACCTTTGATGTCTTCCACCATCCTTAAGAACTTTTAACCTCTCAATGTCCATCCATAGCCACCAATATCTCTCCCCTAATGTACCTTTTATAAATTTCTTAAATCTTTCAAACTCCATTCTATTTCCAATGTCATAAGTTTTGTGAGAAATACACCAATCAGCCCTGATTTCTGATGTAATGCTGTTACTCTTTGAACTTTTTTCTTCTAAAATCTCTTCTGCCTTTTCCTTTGTGGGTTGAATTGTTTCACTTAACGCAATAGTCTTGTCAGGAATAAAGTCAAGATACTCATTAACTACCACTTCTGTTACATTGCTGAAATCTATATGATCTGGGTCTCCTCTAAATGGCTCTCCAAGAATTTGATGAATTACTACTGTCAAAGTGAAGAGTATATAAGCTCTTAAAAATTCTTCAAATGTTGAGAAATGAGCTGTCTGACTTTCACCAACATCCTCTTGCCTTTCAAGGTATATTCTCAGAAGAGCATGAGAAGGAGTGTCTTGTAGAGATATAGACCCATCTTCTTCTTCTTCGAATTCAGAAATTAATCCAGTGGTTTTAACTGGGTCCTTTTTTACCCTGGGGTGAACTCCATCATCAAAGATAAAACTCTCTGTATTAAATTATAAAAGGCTATTAGTTCAGATATGAATACAGAAGACATTTTTATTATTAACTAGATGTTATAGAGCCAGGATGGCGAACGAGTTTATTATCACAGGTAGTGACTACATGGACCAGTGTCTCAAAGAGTCTAAAGCCACATTTGGGATCAGTAGAGAAAAAAATGCCAACAGGAATTAGCCATGTCTTCCCTGGACACAGAAGGGAATAAGGGGCAGACGAACTAAATATTGGACAGCTCTAATACAGAGGGTCTTCAAAAAGACATATACTTTAAAAATATAGTATTTTATGCTGACATAAAATGTCAATATATAAAAACCAACTCTGTTAAAGAATTTGAATATGTACATTACACAATTGTATAGGCATACCTTATTTTATTGTGCTTTGCCTTATTACACTTCACAGATATTGTGTTTTTCACAAATTGAAGGTTTGTGGCAACTCTAAGTGAAAAAAGTCTAGTGGCACCATTTTTCCAACAGCATTTGCCTGCTTCATTTCTCTGTGTCACATTTTGGAATTCTTGTAATATTTCAAATTTTTCATTATTACCATACTTGTTATGGTGACCACTGATCAATGATCTTTGTTGTTATGAGGGCAAGAACCTCCACCAGCAAAAAGATTACAACTCACTGATGATGGTTAGCATTTTTTAGTAATAAAGCATTTTTCAATTAAGGTACAGTATATACATTTTTTAACATAGTGCTATTGCACCCTTAATAGACTACAGTATAGTATAAGCATAACTTTGTTTTGTTTTGTTTTTTATCCTCACCTGAGGATATTTTTCCATATTTTGTACAGATAGAGTGGGAGGGAGAGAGAGGAAGAGAGAGAGAGTGAGAGAAACTTCGACGTGAAGGGACACATCGAGTGGCTGCCACCCGCACGACCAACCAGGGCCGGGGACAAACTGCAACCGAAGTACGTGCCCTTAGCAGGAACCGAACCCGGGTCTCTCCAGACTGCAGGCCGACGCTCTAACTGCTGAGCCAAACCTAATCCTCATTCTAGGATATTTTTTCCATTGATTTTTAGAGAGAGTGGAAGGAAGAGAGGGGGAAAGAGAGAGAGAAAGAAACATTGATATGAGAGAGACACACTGATTGGTTGCCTCCCTCATGTATCCTGACTGGGGCTGAAAATCAAACCTGCAACCCAGATATGCACCCCTGGCCGGGAATCAAACCCACGACCCTTCTGTGCTCAGGCCGGTGCTCTAACCACTGAATCACACAGACTAGGGCTAAGCATAACTTTTACATGCACTGGGAAACCTCAAAAATCATGTGACTCATTTTATTACAATATTTGCTTTATTGTGGTTGTCTGGAACTCAACCTACAGTATCTCTGAAGTATGCCTGTATGTGCTATAATATCTCATGTTGTATGAAGAAGCAAAATTACTTACCATAGATGATGAGACTATAGAGTAACAGATCAGAACTGGAGGCATATTAGCAATTTTTAAAAATTCACTATTTTATCATAAAGACTCAATTACTATCATACTTATAACCTATCATTAAAATTACAAAATAGCATAAGGTATTTATAAAAGCTAACAAATACAAATGGATTGTTTTTATACTTTTTTCTAAAGATAGTCTTTAGCTTCTATTTTCTCTTTCTTCCAGAAATCAGTGAGATATCTAGACTTATGGATGCTTTCACATGGCAAATCTACCCTTTGAAATGCCATGGATCAGGAAAACTCTGCTGCCATCTGTATCCCATCCTAACTGACCATTTTCTCAGTAACAGAGTTCAAGTCTCAGCGAACTGGAAATGTTTCACTGAACTGGAAATTTTTATTGAAAATAATTATACCAAATGTCCCCAATATCAAGAGATTAGACGTTTGCAAACCTATGAAAAGATATGGGGTATACACTCAGAAAGCCCGACCGGTGTGGCTCAGTGGTTGAGCGTCGACCCATGCACCAAGAGGTCGCAGGTTTGATTCCCAGTCAGGGCACATGCCCAGGTTGTGGACCCAATCCCCAGTGGGGGGCATGCAGGAGGCAGCCAATCGATGTTCTCTCTCCCACAGAATTGGGGGCAGAGAGCAGGCTGGCATTTCTGCTCACCCCCTCCTGCTACCCTTTCTCTTCCTCTTTACTATCTTCACTCTTTACTCTACAATATCTACGTTACTATTTTGGAAAAACTGCAAGAAACCTACAAGTTCAGCTATTTTCTACTAGGGAGATTATTTTCCTCTTCACCTATATTTAGGTTCAAGTCTAGAGAGTCCAGATTTATTGTCCCCAAATGTTGCTTATATTTTTTTAACAAATTAAGTAAGAACTGTTAGTAAATTGCTGAGTTCCTCTCCTGAATCACATTGCTAGATTTTTTTTTCTTCAGCACTATCCTGATACGTTAATGACTCTCATTTCTGGAAGATTCCTTCTATTTTTATGAAAAGTTTGTATCATCCACAAAAGTTCCCCACAGTAGAAAGTATCGCTTTTAAGGTGAAAAACAGTCTGAACTTAAAAATGGTAGCAAGCTCCATGAATGACTATTTACTTTTAGAGGAGATAAAAGTTTCACCCACTTTATTTCAAAGGCTTAATAATAAGAATTTGTACATTGTGATAGAATATAAAGACAAGAGAAACATTTATTGACTTGCCTATTATGTACCAAGCACTAGGCCAGGCATTTTTTATATGTTTAGTTTGTATACTTATTCTACATTTACAGAGGAGAAAAGCAAAGCTCCCAGAAGTGGAATAACTTATAAAAATCACATAGCCAATGAGTATCAGAATTGAGTTCTAAACTCATCCTATTTTCACTATGCCAAGTTGCCTCCTAAACAATAGAAAGTGGATTTGGGGATGAGGACGGATATTTTTCCTTCCCAACCAGTAAGTGTTATACTGTAAGATTAGAACAACAACAGAAGTTGTAAAGAGGAGTTTTAAAGTCATTCTTGTCCTTCCTGCTTACCAGAAACAGATGAAATAACTGGTGATCCAACTTTGCTGGAGAGGACAGTGGACGGGGATGAAAAGGTTGATACTGTTTGCTGACTTTGTTTTGCTAATGTAAACCAATCTTTTGTTTGCGTATAGGAGGCCTAGGCATAAAGAAGCACATTTGTTGAATGTAAGATTAGCAGTATTCTTCCAATCACAAACCTGGACAAATCATTATGATATTATTCAATATGCATTGTACAATATGCAAAGAAAAAAATTATCCCATGAAGAAAAGAAGGTTGTACACAGAAAAATGCATTAGCTAAAAAAACAATGAGGAAAAAATTTCTATTCAGATAATTTCCACATCAGATGACTAAAGGAAAGAAATGAGCCCAATACCCATCAAATTCTTCTCCATTCTTCCACCAAAGGCTTGCAGCCTGACTTCCTGGATTAACTACAGATTGATGCCATCTAACTTAAACTTGGCGGTCACTTTTGCCAGGAGCTCCCAGTTACAACCTTCCCAATTATTTCATGCCCCTAATTCCGTCTGCCCTGGCTCAGTGTTTTTAACAACTCCTCCCTATTATGACAAAGACTTCCTCTCAGTAGCACAGGAAACATCTCTAAGCTCAAATGCCACTTTGCCTTAGATTCTGTTTTTACAACTTTGCTTGGAATGGATGCTTCCTGAAGACTGATTCCTGACTCCACTTGTCCCTGGATGTAGCCTTCAATTTTGTCATTGCTTTGTGTACCCTTAAGTCAGTTGACCCAAATCCCAAACTGACCCTCAGCTTCTAGAATCTCTGTCCTAAGAAGCCTCTTATCTCAGACCTCTGGGCAAAATTCCTCTGCTTGAGCTTCTCAGTAACATCCTCACCTGTTGTTCTTAGAGAATCCAAGTTTGTTCAACATTAGCAGAGAAGGGAGTTTCCAGCATTACTTTCATTTCTCCTTTCTCCAACTGAGTCAGCTGGTTGACCTAAGAAACACTCACAGAAGAGCCATGGCTCAAATAGAATATGTACTGTTCCCTAACTATTATGCAGAATCCTTATTGCAAGTCAGGCCACACAATGAGACCAAAAGTAGGAGAGAGAAATGAGAGATGCCATCTGTGTAAGTCACTGATCCCGCTAAGATTTTCTTGGAGGATAAGTTTTGTCACCCTAAAATATGCCTTTTGGGATATTGATTTTAAGATGGTTATTAAGAAACAAAAAGACTCAGAAAAACTCTGACCCACCCCCTTACCTGCCTAAAGGAATTTAGATAAAAAAAACCTGTTTAATGGAAGGGAGCATCACCTTAGCATAGTAACAGGAACTAAATGTAGCAGACAGAAAGAAATCCAGCAAAGCCCATTTGCTGAACTTCCTTCTATGTCCTATTGTTTCTGGGAGGCCCAGCTAGAATTTGCTTTTCACGTGTTTGCTCTTTCTACCTGTGAACTGCCTTCTTTCCCTTGGAAATCCCAGACCCCTGCCCCCCTTCTCTTTAGTTCAGAATAGCACATAAACCTCAACTGGCCCAGTGTATCCCTGAGTCTCTAGTCTTATGGCACCCCACATACACACTGTAAGAAATTTTGGACATTTTCTCCTGCTAATCTGTCTATGTTAATTGGATTATTTACCAGGCCGGAAGAACTTAGAAAAGTGGGAAGAAATTTACTTTTTGTGCCCCTACACTTTGAAAGACTAATTTCCTTTTGTTCTCTCTTTTCCTTCCTTCAAAACCAAGTCATTTATTATTAATTATATGTTCTTTCAATGTATATTTGAATGACTTCTCTATTCCTAGCAGTATCCTAAGCACTGAGAGGAGACCAAAATAATTAGGAAACTTTCAAGGAATTGAGAGAGACCAATATACAAGAGTGCTTGTTATTTCAACTGCACAAAAAAAAGAAAAGAAAGTAGAAGATAGGGGAGAAAGAAGTGGTGAGTCAGACATACAAGCAATGAACTATTCCACTTTATACTTTTAAAACATGGGTCAATTGTCCATGTTTAGATGGTATAACTGAAGATTCAAAGAAACATTACCAATTATCATAAAGATTAATCCCTACCTAGAGTCATAGTTTAAATGATTTAAGGACCCAAAGAACTTGGAATTCTTAAATTTAAAAGCTATTAAAAAGATAGTTTAAATATTAAGTGGATAGAGATGAGTTTTTAATCACAGAAAATAGAAAAAATATAGTTTGGATTTTACTCTAATATTTGACTAAATTTACACGTAGGGAATCGGAACTTATTCCCCTAGATGATTATTCCCTCTGTATGTTTGTTGACCTCTACTATCAGTACACATTTTATGATGTTCCTGACATTTCTATAATATATAAGTTAAGAGAAAAAATAAACCCTTCAGAATAAGTATAAAGACAAAATAAAAATGTGTCTTTGGTACATTCCTAAGCATTACTAAGTGAAAATAGTGGAACTGGCATAATTTTAAACATTTTAAAACAAATATCACTTATAAAAATGCCAAACTACAAAATTAAATAGAAGCTACACATGAAAAATAGTGTTCAAGTAAGATAGGATAACTCTATCCTTTCCAACAGAGATGGCAAATAGTTTTCCTCTTATATGACATCTCTGATCAATTGGAGGTGCCTGCCTAAAGTGTTGTGATGAAAAGTATTTGGAGCCAAGTCCTATAGCTCAGTAGGAAATTGCCGTGATTGACAGGCAATGTCTGCCATGAATAGAAACTAGGAGAGTATCAACACATGGGCCACATATTTGACATTCCTGCTTTTATACAGAATTGTGTATTGAAAATGTGTTCCAAGAGAGACATTCTGGTAATTAGAGGCAAAAGATCAAATAATAGTTTGATCATGATTCTCCAAAAGGACATTTGATTCTACGTTAGATCTCATACAACTCAACATTTCTTCAGTCAAGAACAACAAATGTATCTAGTTAAGCAGTAATTAACATCTAAGCAATTTACTACTGAAAAATAATCTTTTTTTTTTATCCTCACCCAAGGACATTTTTTCGTTTTTTGTTCAAATAGAGTGGGAGAGAGAGAGAGAGAAACATCGACGTGAAAGGGACACATCGAGTGGTTGCCACCCACATGACCCAACCAGGGCCGGGGACAAACTGCAACCAAGGTGCATGCCCTTAGCGGGAACCAAGCCTGGGTCTCTCTAGACTGCAGACTGACGCTCTAACTGCTGAGCCAAACCGGCCAGGGCTGAAAAATAATCTTAAAAAAGAGGAAAAGACCTAATTTAACATCTTTTTGTATAAAAGTTATGAAACTTGGCTGGCTGGGGGAAAAGGGGTGATTGTGGAGACTCCTAAAGAGCTAGGCCCACATCCAGCCCTTTAAAAATGGGGAGGGTCTGGCAAATGTGGCTCAGTGGATTGAGCATCATCCCATGGACTGAGAGGTCCCAGTTCATTCCCAGTAAGGGCACACGACTGGGTTGCGGGCTCAATCTTCAGTGGAGGGCATGCAGGAGGCAGCCAATTGATGTAACTCTCTCACATCTATGTTTCTATTCCTCTCTCCCTTCCTCACTCTCTAAAAAAAAATCAATAAAAAATATTTTTTTAATGGGGAAGGGATTTCTTGGCTGCCAAGTTTCCCCCTGAAGAGTGAGGGGTCCCAACCTCACCCCAGGCCCCCCAGCCCAGGGTTCCAGTGCCAGGAAGAGAAGTCCCCATAACTTTTGGCTCTGAAAACCAGCGGAGATTGTGCTGAGTGACTTGGAGGCTACTGGAGTCCCGAGCAGTTCCTCTTAAAGGGCTCGCACATGGACTTACTCAGACTCACTTACTCTGAGCTCCAGCTCTAGGCAGCAACTCAAAAAGTGCCAGGGACAGACATACTGAGAAGAAATGAATCATCTGGCTTTAGGGCAAGAGCTGGAGGGGCAGCTTTCTCCAAGATAAAGTACTGTTAAAAGCTATTGTCCCTTTGCTGAACCCTCCCCCTGCAGGTGCAGGTAGGCCCCATATCCAAGTCTCCATCAACCTAATTAATTCTGATCTCTCAGCCCTGGTGATACCACCCAACTTGCCAGACTACCCACATTGCTTCCAATGGCTCTTCCATGTAAACAGCCTGTGTTGGTTCATACTGTGGATTTTCCTGAATTCTCTCAAAAGTTCACAAACCACAAACAAGCAGTGTCTGGCCTCAGCATACCCTGTACCTCTTGCTAAGTAGTGCCAAGCCCAGCACTAGTGACAGCCAGCCTTAGTTTGCACCTTAGCCTCTCCCAAGCACCTCCAAGTCCAGCACAAGTGACAACCATGTGCAGAGCACTTTGTAGCTCATGCCAGGTGGCCCTGGGCAGGGCATAGGCAGTGGCTGACCTTGGCCTGCACCAGAGTGCCTATCAAGAGGCCCAGAACCAACATACTTGGTGGCAAGCTTTAGATCACTCCAGAACACCACCCAACCACCTCCACAAATGACACACCCAAAGAGCAGACTTAGCAGGTACCAGAGCCCTGTTAAAGTGAATCTGTCTTTGTAGAGTTAGCTTCTGCAAAAGCTCCAATATAGGCACAGTCAGTCCTTACAACCAATCAGCCTTAGGGTCAATCGCTCCCAATAACATGCCAACAGCAATCAAGGATCAACTACAACATGATTGTACATACAACCCACACAAAAGACACAGCTGGAGTGCCCAGCTCAGGTGACCAGGGAGGCTGTGCCACTAGGCCCCACAGGACATCTACTACATAAGGCCACTCTACCAAGACCAAGAGACATAGCAGCTCTACCTAATACATAGAAACAAACACAGGGAGGCAGTCAAAATGAGAAGACAAAGAAACATGTTCAAAATGAAAGAACTGAACAAAATTCCAGAAAAACAACTAAACAAAATGACGACAAGCAATCTATCAGATGCAGAGTTCAAAACACTGCTTATAAAGATGCTCCATGATTTCAGTGAGAATTTTAACACAGTGATTGAAACATAAAAATTAAGATAGAAGACATAAAAAAGAACCAGGAGGAATGAAGAATATAGTAACTGAAATAAAGACTATATTAGAGGGAATCAACAGTAGATTAGATAAAGCGGAGTACTGAGTCAGCAGTTTGGAAGATAAGGTAGCAGAAAACATCCAATAAGAAAAGAAAAAAGAAACCAAAAAAAGTGAGGCTAGTTTAAGGAGCCTCTGGAACAACCTCAGGCATACCAACATTAGCATCATAGGCATACCAAAAGGAAAAAAGAGAGAAAAGGAATTGAAAACCTATTAGAAGGTATGATAACAATTTTTTTCCTAATCTGGTGAAGGAAATAGACATACAAGTCCAGGAAGTGCAGAGAGACTCAAAGAAGATGTACCCAAAGGAACCCACAGCAACACATATCATAATTAAAATGCCAAAGGTTAAAGACAGAGAAAATCTTAAAAGCAGCAAGAGAAAAGCAGTTAGTTACCAAAGACATATGCATTAATATGTTCATTGCAGTATTACTTACAATAGCCAAAATATATAAGCAAACTAAGTAAGTGTCCATCAATAGATGAATGGATAAAGAAGTAGTACATATATACAATGGAATATTACTTATCCATGAAAAAGAATAAAATCTTGTCATCTGCAACAATATGTATGGACCTAGAGGGTATTATGATAGATTAAATAAGTCAGAGAAAGACAAATACCAATGATTTCACTGATATGTGGAATCTAAAAAACAAATTAAGTGTATTGCTATCGATTTCTCCTTTGAAGCCTTCCAGAAGATTTTTAATATATTTTGGTGCTCCTATATTGGGTGCATTTGTTTATCAAGGTTATAGCTTCCTGTTGGATAGATCCTTTCAATATTATGTAGTGGCCTTCTTTGTCTCTAGTTATGGCCTTCATTTTGAAATCTATTTTATCAGCATGAACAATGGACATGGACAACAAAGCTGGGGACAGGGCGGAGAGGGAGGGAGAGGGGGGAATCAGTGAGGGGAAAAGGAGAAACATCTGTATGTAACAAAAATAAATTAATTAATTAAATTTTAAAAAGAGGAAAAAAAAAGATAAATCGGTTCATATAAAAAAAAATTAAGTGAACAATACAAACAGAAACAAATTCATAGATATAGAGAACAAACTGATGGTTGCCAGATGGGAGGAGGAATGGAGAGTGGGTGAAAAAGGTGAAGGGATTAAGAAGTAAAAATGATAGTTACAAAATAGTCACGGGGCCCTAGCCGGTTTGGCTCAGCGGTTAGAGCATCGGCCTGCAGTCCCGAGAGACCTGGTTTCGGTTCCCGCTAAGGGCGCGTACCTCAGTGGCAGTTTGTCCCCCGCCCTGGTTGGTCATGCAGGTGGCAGCCACTCGATGTGTCCCTTTCACATCAATGTTTCTCTCTCTCTCTTCCTCTCTCCCCCTCCCACTCTACCTGAACAAAAAATGGAAAAATATCCTCGGGTAAGGATAAAAAAATATAATAAAAAAAAACAAACCAAAATAGTCATGGGGATGTAAAGTATAGCATAGGAAATATAGTCAATAATACTGTAATAACTATGTATGGTGTCAGATGGGCACTAGATCTATCAGAATAATCACTTTGTAAGTCATATATATATATAGATCTATATATATTGATAGATATAGATATATCTATAGATATAGATATATTCAGTATGTTGTACACCTGAAAATAATATAATATTGTATGTCAATTTTAACTAAAAATAGGAATTATTAAACAAAAAAAGAGGAAATCTCACCTTTTGTGACAGCATGGATGGACTTGGAGAGCATTATGCTAAGTGAAATAAGCCAGTCAGAGGAAGACAAGTACCATATTATTTCACTCATATGTGGAATCTAATGAATATAATGAACTAACAAGCAAAATAAAGAGAATCATAGAGTTCAAAAGGATTGAGGAAAAAAAAAAAGAGAGAGAGAGAGAGAGAGAAAACTCTTGGACACTGACAATGATGTGGTGATTGCCAAGGGTGGAGGAGGTGGAGGAGGGTGTAGTGGGGATAAATGGTGATGGAAGGAGACCTGACTTGGAGTGGTGAACACACAATACTCTGTACAGATGATGTTTTGTGGAATTGTGCACCTGAAACCTGTCTAATTTTGTTAAGCAGTGTCACCCTTATAAATTTAAGAAAAAGAAAAGAATTTTGAAAAGAACACATGAGCATAGAAATGTATATATCTTTTTTAAAAGTTCTTAAACCGGGGTCCTTATGCCTTTTATTACATTTAATTTAGCTTTGAATCCTAGCTCTAGAAATCATCTCTCTCTTTTTCTAAACCCCTCATAGATCTATCCTCTCCCCTGGATAATCAGCAATCCCCACAGTGAGGTCTGGACCTCTGTGGCAAGCTAAAGATAACATTGTGACCTAAATTATGTTTCAGCTCCTGAGCACTAAGGTGGGACAACGCCCTGGCTAGTTTTCCAGACCAGACAAAGGGATGACAGAGCAGACCTAAAACATGTCCTCAAGACCCGAGAAAATGATTTATAACCCTTACCTCACCTTGGACCAATCTGCTCCCAGCATGACCCCCCAAACCCTAAATCCATGGTGTCTTGTGATTTTACCCTATATAATCTGTAACCTAAACGCCACTGAGGAGTGAAGTCTTTCCAGGCATTAGCTTGCCTGTACTCCAGAGTGGCCAATTTTCTAATAAACCTTATTTTTATGCTACAAAATTCCTGCTTGTATATTTCTTTTGGGCCGGTGTGAGCAGGCAGACAGACTCAAATATTGGGGTCCAGGTAACTTACAGAATTCAAATAATAAAAATTTGGAATAAACAATAAAACCATAGATATAATTTAGGTACCCATGCCTCCCAGGTGACACTGAGTACGTTCTTCAACCTAGCACTTGTTCCTTCATACACAGGATGATAATTCTAATTACATTTCAGGTGAAAAGAGTGCAGAGCAAATGAGTCAGTAGAAAGTCACAAAAATTTTTGCTAAATCTGCTTTTTGAAGTAGTTGAAATAATTTCCCCTGTTCAATTGGTACAAATAAAATTCATGTTTCTAAAATAAGAAGTTTTATTAAATGCCAAGTCACAAAGAAACATACTTTACCTCGCCAAGAGAAATGTAGAACTTTTTCATAATGATAACATTTTCATCTTTAACGGCAGGAGGTGGTGGAGTAGGTGGTTTTCTCAGGACCCAGGGAGAAAAATCCTCACCTAGTGTGATATTCACGCCTGATCCACTCCATCTCACTTGTGAAACCAATTTGGCTAACCTGCATTTTAGAAAGCATATAAATTTGAAACAAGTTTCAAATAGGGTAGAATTCAGGGGCGGGGGGGGGGGGCACTAACATTTTATTTTACATATTCAAACCAATCTCCCTTCCTAACTCTGCAGGATGATTCTCTTGGAATCTGCTAAAATTAATGGCTTATTCATAGAACTGCTAATTAATTATTATTATTTTAATTTATTTTATTTTTATTTAAAAATGATTGTTATAAGCACAGGTCAAACTTCAGTAAAACTTCAGAATGTTTGGTACTTACACTTTAAAAGTCAGGGCATGTAAAAGAAAACTTGGCTCTACACTTATTTTTATTTTTTAGTATCCTGCATATAAATGCCATTATCACATGTTAAGTGAATAATTTAAAAAATATAATGATTAAAGAAGCACAAATGAAGTATGTTTATTAGGTACTGTTTCTGTGAAATCTCTTTGGAAAAGTTAAGCGATTTTCACCAATGCTTTATCACTCTTATACTATAACCAGTGTGATCCATACTCTACTGGATTTAAATGAATTTTATTAAGAAAGTACAAAAAATAAGTTGGGGTTAAAAAATAGGCATTTAAAAAATATGTATACTGATGAGACTACAATACCTGTATTCAAAATAGCAATCACTTTCCAGAAATGCTGGAAGTCTTTCTTTTTTGATCCACTGAATACCTTGTTCACGACTGAGACACTATGAGAGGACAAGTGAGAAAGAAAAAGCATGTCAAGGAAAAATCACCTTTAGGACAATTAGGGCCTAATCACCAGAGCAGTAGTGACCTCCAGCTACTACTAGGAGCCCTGCCTCTACCTTCTATTTGCATAAGAACAAGAACCCTGAGTCACAAATTTGAACCCACTTTTTGCTTTCCAAGTGCTTTTTAAATAATCTCAACAACCCTGCATCAACTAGCTCCATTTTACAGGCTAATAAACTGAATCCAGCAAAGTTAAATTACTATTGAAGGAAGAGGAAAGATATAAAAGTCAGGCAATCTCAGTATTTTCATAGTGATAAAATGGGTTAAAAATAATCACAATCAGAAAAAGCTAACCAGAACACTCGGTAAGGCCACTATGGTCTCTGAAGGCCCCTTATCCTTTCAATTTTAGAAAATTTTGTGAAATATTTACATCCCCAGTCACTATCCTGGAGATACAAAGGTAAACAAGAAAGATAAGACCCTGTCTTTAAAGAGTTTACAGATAACTCAATAGGTAATAATAGTTGAGTGCTGTAAGGGCCTTAAGTGCAGGCTTCTGTGGGAGGTCACATGGGCACTAATACAACAAAAATTTCCAAAAGAACATGCCACTCACTCTTTGACCTGAAGCATGATTACCATGGTTGAAGAGGAGGGGAGCAGGAGAGGAACCAAAGATAAATTTATTATAACTAGATCACAGGCTGAGATTGGAGAGATGGAGGGAAGAAGGCTGAAGAAGTAGGCAGGGGCCTGGTTGTGAATAGTCTTTAAATAAAATTAAAGAGTTCAAACTTTAGCCCTGGCCAGTTTTGCTCAGTGGTTGGAGCATCAGCCTGCAGACTAGAGAGTCCTGGGTTCAGTTACCGCTAGGGGCATGCACCAAAAAAATGAGTTCAGATTTTATCTTGAGGTTGTAAGGGCCATACAATATTATGTAAGAGTTACTAGGTTGCTATTCATCCTAAAACATTTATTCCCTGTTGATTCCATTTGTCTTATATTCACTTTTTCCAGAATTCTAAAGAATGCGAGTACCTTGGACACTAAACAAATGCTACTAATAAGTAAAACAACCAATAAAGTACACATCCCAGTGAGGCAATGTGTCTGCATTTATGTGGCTTCCACTGATCACCTGGCTAAAGCAATAGTTGTGCTGTGATATTAACACCAGAGTCAGCACAGATTACTGACAACTCCTAAGGAAACTGAAGGCTCACATAGTAGTGCTGCCAACATCTGACAGCTGATGATCTTGAGGGCACACCTGTGCTCAACATTGCTGACATGTGGCAGGAAGAGTTCCCAGGACTGGAAAACTGAGCAAACAATGGTTTCCTCCTGTTGAGCAAGAAACACCCATTTGTCTTCTGGGTAATGAAATAATAATAGAAGAAAATTTGAAAACAGTCAGCACCTGAAAGGTAGCATCTTGTTGATGGACTCATTGCTTATCAGTGAGATATAAAAGACATTTGGATCTTGTAGTTAGAAAAACTGTACATAGGCCTCTACATATGCTGCACGCTGACTGCCATTCAAGATTTTTGAATTCTCATTAGTGATGCACTCAATGTATCACAAAAAGACACCAGGCTACATATAAAGATCCAGATAAACCCTTGAGAAATTCCACAAGGTTGTCTATCCAGTCAGTTAACACAAAATCAGTTGCATAATATTTACCTAATGAACACTGCACCTATAACTCATCCTCTTTTGAATGTTTTTGCACCTATTTGACCTAAAAATTAAATAAAATGAAAAGTTCATAAAGAATAAAATCAACCCAGCTGGTGTGGCCCAGTGGTTGAGCATCAGCCCATGCACCAAGAGGTCACTGGTTCGATTCCCAGTCAGGGCACATGCCCAGGTTGTGGGCCAAATCTCCAGTGGGGGCATGCAGGAAGCAACCACTCAAAGTTCTCTCTCATTGATGTTTCTCTCTCTCTCTCTCTCTCTCTCTCTCTCTCTCTCTCTCTCTGTCTCCCTCTCTCCCTCTCTCTCTAAAGTCAATGAAGAAAAAATATTTTAAAAAACTTCCGGTCAAGATGGTGGCGTAGGTAAACGCGGTATGGAGTCCTCCCACAACCACATCAAAGTTACAACTAAACTACAGTACAACCATCATTCAAAACTGCCTGAAATCAAGCTGAATGGAAGTCCTACAACTACAGAATTAAAGAAGCAGCCACATGGAGACTGGTAGGAGGGGTGGAGGCGGACGGGCTGGTCCCACAGCCACGTGTGGTGGATAAAAATCAGGAGGACACCTCGGCTGGGAAGGTCCTCCCCAAGGACTGAGGGGTGCCGGTCCCACACCAGGCACCCCACTCAGGGTTCCAGTGCCAGGAAGAGAGTCCCCATAACTTCTGGCAGGAAAATCCAGCGGGAACTGAGGCTCAGGGAAGCTGAGGCAGCTGGAGCCCCAGGCAGCTCCTTAAAGGGCCCGCGCACGGACTTATCGGACTCGAGGGGCACTAGAGACATACAGGGAAGAACTGAGCTGTTTGGCATTGGAGCGAGGGCTGGAGAGGGAGCTACCTCCGGGACAGACGTGCTGTCAGAGGCCTTTGTTTTTTTTGGTGAGCCCATCCCTGGGGCGGCAGACATATCTGGGACTCCAGCAACCTGGCTCACACTGGTTGCCTCACCCTGGTGATTCCGAGGTCCCGCCCCACCCAACTTTCAGGCCCACCCAAGCTGTTGCCAGTTGCTTAACCATAGGATTGGCCTGTCTTGGATCCTGCTTCAGGTTTTCCTAAATTCTTTCAAACAAGCAGCATCTGGTCTCAGATAGCCCCATACCTCTCATTAAGTAATACACAGAAACAAACACAGGGAGGCAGCCAAAATGAGGAGACAAAGAAACAGGTCCCAAATGAAAGAACAGAACAAAACCCCAGGAAAAGAACTAAGCAAAATGGAGATAAGCAACCTAACAGATGCTGAGTTCAAAATACTGCTTACAAGAATGTTCAATGAACTAAGTGAGAACCTCAGTGAACTTAGTGAGTGCCTCAAGAGCATAAAAAAAGACCAGTCAGAAATGATGGATGCACAGTCAGAAATGAATGAGGCATTAACTGAAATAAAGAATAATTTACACAGATTCAATAGTAGAGTACGTAAATCCAAGAAGCAAACCATTGATTTGGAATATAAGGAAGCAAAAAACGCCTAATCAGAACAGCAAAAAGAAAAAAGAATCCAAAAAAAATGATAGTGTATGGAGCCTCTGGGACAACTTCAAGCGTGCCAACATTCACATCTTGGGGGTGCCAGAAGGAGAAGAGAGAGAACAAGAAATGGTAAACCTGTTTGAAACAATAATAGCAGAAAACTTTCCTAACTTGGTGAAGGAAACAGACATACAAGTCCAGGAAGCACAGAGAGTCCCAAACAAGATGAACCCCAAGAGGCCCACACCAAGACACATCATCATCAAAATGCAAAAGGTTCAAGACAAAGAGAGAATCTTAAAAGCAGCAAGAGAAAAGCAGTTAGTAACCTACAAGGGAGCTCCCATAAGACTGTCAGCTGATTTCTCAAAAGAAACTTTGCAGGCCAGAAGGGAGTGGCAAGAAATATTCAGAGTGATGAAAAGCAAGAACCTACAGCCAAGATTACTCTATCCTGCAAAGCTGTCATTTAGAATTGATGGCCATCTAAAGAGTTTCCCAGACAAGGAAAAGTTAAAGGAGTTCATCACCACCAAACCATTATTATATAAAATGTTGAAGGGTCTTCTTGAAGAAAAGGATAAAAAATATGAACAAACAAAATGTCAATGAATACATAGCTATCAACAATTGAATCTACAAACAAAATGAACAAGCAGAACAGAAACATTCTCATAGATATAGAGAACATTTTGTTGGTTGCCAAATGGGAGGGGGGGTGGGGGAATGGGTAAAAAAGATGAAGGGATTAAGAAGTACAAATTGGTTGCTAGACTGACAAACCTCAAAGGGAAGGGGGGTTGGGAGGTGGGAAAAAATAAACCAAAGAACTTATATGCATATATGCATAACCAACGGATAGAGACAACAGTGTGGGGAAAGGCAGGAGGGGGGTGGGAGTGGGGAGGAGGCGGTCAATGGAGGAAAAATGAGAAACATCTGTAATACATTCAACAATAAAGATTTAAAAAAAGAAAATATATAAGTAAAATAAAATTAAAAAATGAATAAAATCAAAATTGAAGAAAAGTCTTTAAACTGCCAAAAAATCCCGTCAAGGTGTTTACCAGTAACTAAAATATATAAAGACCAAAAAGATACAAAAAAATAATGCCAAACATAAAATAATAATTAATACTCACAAGAAACACAAAAGTAATTTACCTAAGGTAAAATTATTTATTTATTTTTTAAAGTTGGTTAAGAAATAAAAAGAGATAACCAAAGGTTATCTGGCTCTAGGTAAATCACCCTAGAACTATTTCCAAGTCGCCACACACTAGTTCTCTAAAATCACTCCAGGATTAGGTTAATAAAGATGATATTTAGATGTACAAGGCAACCAAATAAAGCCTGACTATCTGCCAATAGATTATTTTGTGTAGTCAGATTTATTGAGGTATAAATTATATACAATAAAATTCATTCTTTTTTTTTTTTTTTTTGAGGAAGAGGAATTCATATTTATTTATTTTTTTATATTTATTTATTTTATTTTTTTTACAGATGTTTCCCCTTTTTTACCCCATTGACACCTTCCTCTCTTTCCCCCGCAACCCATCCCCAGCTTTGTTGTCCATGTCCATTGGTTATGCGTGCATGCATATAAGTTCTGTGCTTTATCTCTTCCCTTCCCCCACCACACCCTCTTCTGAGGGTTGACAGTCTGTACCCTACTTCCATAACTCTGGGTCTACCCTATTCCTCTGACTGTTATGATCATTATATTCCACAAATATGTGAGATCATATTATACTTGTCTTTCTCTGTTTGGCTTGTTTCGCTTAGGATAATACTTTCAGGTCCATCCATGTCGTCTCAAAGGATAATAAATCTTTCTTTCTTACAGCTGCATAGCATTCCATTGTGTATATGTACCACTGCTTTTTTATCCATTCGTCTAGTGATGGACACTTGGGTTGTTTCCAGATCTTATCTATTGTAAATAGTGCTGCAAAGAACATGGGGGTACCTATATTCTTTCTGATTAGTGTTTCAGGCTTCTTAGGGTATATTCCTAAAAGTGGGATCACTGAGTCAAATGGAAGTTCAATTTTTAATTTTTTGAGGTAACACCGTATTGTTTTCCATAGTGGCTGCACCAGTCTGCATTCCCACCAGCAGTGCACTAGAGTCCCCTTTTCTCCACACCCTCACCAACACTTGTTTAATGATTTGTTGATGGTGGCCATTCTGACAGGTGTGAGGTGATACCTCATTGTTGTTTTAATTTGCATCTCTCTGATGATTAGTGATGTTGAGCATTTCTTCATATGTGTCTTGGCCATTTGTATGTCCTATTTGTAGAGGTGTCTATTCAGCTCCTCTGCCCATTTTTTAATTGGGTTCTTTTTCTTCCTTTTGTTGAATTGTATGAGCACTCTATATATTTTGGAAATTAACCCCTTATCTGCTGTATCATTGGCAGTGATGCTCTCCCCTACAGTGGGTTGCCTTTCCATTTTGATGGTTGTTTCTTTTGCTGTGCAGAAGCTTTTGAGTTTGAGGTAGTCCCATGTGTTCATTTTCTCCTTTGTTTCTGTTGCCTTAGGTGATGTATCAGTGAAAATTCTGCTGTGTATGAAGTCTGAAATTTTGTTGCCTACATTTTCTTCTAATATTTTTATGGATTCACAGGTCACATTTAAGTCTTTTATCCATTTTGAGTTTATTTTTGTGTATGGTGTAAGTTGATGGTTTAGTTTCATTTTTTTGCATGTAGCTGTCCAATTTTGCCAACACCATTTATTAAAGAGGCTGTCTTTACTCCACTGTATGCTCTTGCCACCTCTGTCAAATATTAATTGAGCATAATGTCTTGGGTCCATTTCTGGGTTCTCTGTTCTGTTCCACTGGTCTATATGCCTGTTCTTGTGCCAGTACCAGGCTGTTTTGATTACAGTAGCTTTGTAGTATAACCTGATATCCGGTATTGTGATCCCACCTACTTTGTCCTTCTTTTTCAAGATTGCTGAGGTTACTCAGGGTCTTTTTTGGTTCCATATGAACTTTTGAAATATTTGTTCTAGTTCTGTAAAATATGTTGTTGGTATTTTGATGGGGATTGCATTGAATCTATAGATTGCTTTGGGTAATATGGACATTTTAATGATGTTAATTCTTCCAATCCATGAACAAGGTATGTGCTTCCACTTTTTATATCTTTCTCTATTTCTTTTTTCAATGTCCTGTAGTTTTCTACAAATAAGTCCTTTACTTCTTTGGTTACGTTTATTCCTAGGTATCTTAATTTTTTGGCCGCGATGGTAAATGGGACTGTTTTTTCAGTCTCTCTTTCTGTGAATTCATTATTGGTGTATAAGAATGCCGTCAATTTCTTGATGTTAATTTTGTATCCTGCTACTTTGCCAAATTCATTTATTAAGTCTAGTAGATTTTTGATAGAGTCTTTATGGTTTTCTATGTATAATATCATGTCATCTGCAAATAATGACAGTTTCACTTCCTCCTTTCCAATTTGGATCCCTTTCATTTTTTCTTCCTGTCTGATTGCTATGGCTAAGACTTCCAGTACTATGTTAAATAAGAGTGGTGAAAGTGGGCATCCCTGTCTTGTTCATGTTCTTAAGGGAAATGCTTTTAGTTTCTGCCCATTGAGTGTGATGTTGGCTGTAGGTCTTTCATATATGGCCTTTATTATGTTGAGATATGATCCCTCTATTCCCACATTGCTGAGCGTTTTTATCGGAAATGGATGCATCTATTGATATGATCATGGTTTTTATTCTTCATTTTATTTATGTGGTGTATCACATTTATTGATTTGCGAATATTGTACCAGCCTTGCATCCCTGGGATGAATCCCACTTGGTCATGGTGAATAATTTTTTTGATGTATTGCTGGATCTGATTTGCTAGTATTTTGTTCAGGATTTTGGTGTCTATGTTCATCAGGGATATTGGCCTGTAGTTTTCTTTCTTTGTAGTGTCTTTTTCAGGTTTTGGAATTAGAATTATGCTGGCCTCATAAAACAAGTTTGGAAATCTTCCTTCTTCTTGAATTTTTTGAAATAGTTTGAGGAGAATGGGTGTTAGTATTTTTTTTGAATGGCTCCCCCGTGAAGCCATCCGGGCCTGGGCTTTTGTTTGCTGGGAGAGTCTTGATTACATCTTCAATTTCCTTAGTTGTTACTGGTCTGTTCAAGTTTTCTATCTCTTCCGGGAATAGTTTTGGGAGACTGTGTGTTTCTAGAAATTTGTCCATTTCACTTAGATTGTCGAATTTGTTGCCATATAATTGTTCATAGTGGTTGTTAACGATCTTTTGTATTTCTGCAGTGTCAGTTGTTACTTCTCCTCTTTCATTTCTGATTTTGTGTATTTGGGTTCTCTCTCTTTGTTTCTTGGTGAGTCTAGCTAAGGTTCCATCAATCTTGTTTATCTTTTCAGAAAACCAGCTCTTTGTTTCATTGGTCCTTTGAATTGTTTTGTTTTTGGTTTTTTTGTGTCCATGTCATTTATTTCTGCTCTGATCTTTACTATTTCCTTCCTTCTACTTGCTCTGGGGTTTTCTTTTTGTTTGCTTTCTAATTCTTTAAGTTGTGAGGTTAGATAGTCTATTAGAAATTTTTCTTGTTTCTTGAGGTAGGCCTGTAGTGCTATGAACTTCCCTCTCAGAACTGTTTTTGCTGCATCCCATAAATTTTGTGCTGTTGTGTGTTCATTTTCATTGGTTTCCAGGAAGTTATTAATTTCTTCCTTGATCTTCTCGGTAACCCATTCATTATTTAATAACATGCTATTTAGCCTCCATGTGTTCAAATGTCTTTGCATGTTTTTGTTGCAATTGAGTTCTAGTTTCATGGTATTGTGATCTGAGAAGATGCTTGATATGATTTCAATCTTCTTGAACTTGTAGAGATTTAGTTTGTGTCCTAACATATGGTCTATCTTTGAGAATAACCCATGTGCACTTGAGAAGAATGTGAACTCTGTAGTTTTGGGGTGTAATTCTCTATAGATATCTATTAAATCCATTTGGTCTAGTGCTTCATTTAGAGTCTCTGTTTCCTTGCTAATTTTTTGTCTAAAGAAAAAAAATTTTTTTTAATAAAAAAAATTGCTTGTTTGAGACACAGAACTAGTAAGTCGAGAGGGATTTTTGTTTGTTTGTTTGTTTTGTTTTTTTACCCCATGCTATGAAGACAAATCCAGAGTGGAGAGTAGAATTTAAAGTCAGGGAGGTTAGAGCCACACAGTGTAACTTGAAGGTCAGAAATCTCAATTCCCAACTGCTTAATAAGATAGAACCCAGAATAAATAAACTCACTATATACCCACGTTTTCTAGAACACATCTAAATATAAAGAATACACACTAACCTAAGATTCTAAATGTTCAAGGTTAATTACATGAACATTCTCATATTGATAATCAAATATCAACAAAACTGGTAGACTAAATTGGCCACTTAATATGAATAAGATGATACAGCAAACAAGTACTATGTATAAGAACAGTACAATTTAATTTAATTAATATAGTTAAACCTCAGAAAGGGAAGCCCAAGGAATCTCATGTTAATCTCAACTAATGCTTTATCTGTCTAACAAGATATACTAGACATGTACTTTCTTACCATAATATTGTAGTTGACATTAATGGTCTCATCTTCATAGGGAGCATTCATTTGAGGAGGTTTAACATCATTCTTTCCTTTCCTTACAACATCATAGATAGGATTTCGAGGTTGCTGGTTTTGTAGAATTTTTTTCAGTTGCTTTTCCAGAAGTTGTGGAGCATTGTTAACTACTTCAAAAACTCCATAATCCACATTAAATCTAATTGCCTCTGAAAAGGTCTGCAAAATAAGTTGTGGAAATATGTCTTTACATTTTTAAAAACCAGAAACTCGCTGTCTCCAAGCCTTGATACTTAACATATTTACACACACACAGTTTTGTGTTTTTAATCATTACCTCTTCTCTTTAGGAGTATGGACATCCACTGACTACAGGTAAGGAAACCCAATGAATCCTTCCTTCCCAATGTACTTATGCCATGAGATATGTGTCAGGGTACATTATAGCAGAAGTTCCCTGCGCATAAACATCTTACCTCTGTGCTTCTTTGGAAGTGGAAAGAAATACACACCTGGTCTCTATGAGGCAATGTTATTCTCTTAGCAGTGGGTGGATTACTGGGGAAGAACGAGTAAAAGAAGAAGAAATAACACTCCTGTTATCTTTTTCATCCCCAGAAGCCATGAAAGTGAAAGTCTCCCTTGTCCAAAAGGAGAAAATTAAGTACAATATGTTCTTCATTTAAGACTATTTCAACACCATTCCTCTCACTGTGACCAAAACAGAGTAAAAGATGACATTTCTGAGCTTTTCTCAGTAATTACTAAATGCTGCCAACTTTTATTTAAAGTCAGTCAGTTAATATACAACAGTCAGAAGTCTTGAGTTTGCCAGCTTGCCTGTAAGCAGCACTGTGACTGGGCAAGTCACTGAACACACTGAAGCTTCATTTCCATAACAAGTAAAGAACGAACTGGTTGTGTCTTTTCCCACTTTGCCCTCCAAACCTAGAATCATGTCTCTTTTTCAGAACATTAATTTATTTTAGGATACCCTCAGTTAACTGCCTGCTCATGTAGATTAATTTATATTTTTTAGCCAGGTTGTAAAAGACCTTAAACCCCCTTGGATTGATCTCTGTTCTAGAGACAGCATCAATTCTTTCAAGTTTTACTAAGAGAGTGCTAGATATACTATAGTTAAAATGTAATAAATAGCAGGATATTATAAAATTGGAGTTAGAAATATATGTGTTTATGTATAAATATCCACATATGTGTGTGTGTGTATATATATATACACATTATTTATTCATTTTAATGTTAAATGATATTGCATCTCTAAAGTCTCATTGTCTCCAATCTATGGAATTTAAAGTGCACAGACAAATAGAGTTCAATATGAATGTTAGTCCACAGTTCAAAAGGCCTCAAGGCTAAGATTTCCCCTCAAAATGACAAGTGTAGCTTGATGGATAAGTAACAGTATTTAGCAGTAAACTATGAATAAGGTTTCTTCAAAAAATATCTCTCATTGGTTGCCTACTGCCTCTGTCTTTCAAACATGGGGTTCAAATAGGCACCAGTTACCTAAAAGTCAAATGTTATCTCTAAAATATACGATTACTAGATTAAACACATAAATAAATCTGGTGATATCAGAGACAAGATTCATGTGTTTGGAGCAAGGAACTGAATTAAACTTGGTAGAGAATGGACATCAACTATTAACTGGGCTGGGGGAAATGGAGCAGTATACTGTGAAAGAGCACCCAGAAAAGATTTCTTCTAGTTCTGAGTATCCATGGAACAAAAAAGCAAGCTTGATCTTTATTTATTGTTTTCCTTTCTTTTTTATGCCTCCCACCCTCACACCTGGTAGCCAGAGGCACACAAAGCTATAATAATCCAAAGCAAATAATGCCAATTAGTTCTATGGACAAATAAAGTATTTCTTGTTAATCAAGTAAAAAATGCTCAAGTTAAAAAAAAAAAATTATAGGGACTATGATACTATGAGGCCCTCAGTATCCAATATTACTTAGTAGTAAATAGTTAAGGCACAGTTGGTGGAAATAACAGGAGTGATAAGTGCTACTAAACATTTACCATGTGCCAGGCATGTGACGGACACTTTAAATGTACTATCTGGAATCCTTCCACATTCCATACATAACTCTTTACAGAAAATGGATGCTCAGGGTGGTTATGTGATAGGCCATGGACTCAGAGCTATAAAGTGCTAGATCAAGGCTATAGAAACAAGTCTGTCTGGTCCCAAAGAAAGCACACTTCCCCTTCTCTATTATATTGCCTCACATGTGATCAAAGGCATGACCTGACCACTGTCTCTAACCCAGGCATTGTGGTGAGCAATGTAACTCCATGAGGTTAGTGGTGCTGGGATTCAAAACCAAGGTGTTTTTATCCTAAAGCCTGTGCTCTGGTTTTACCAGTAGAGGCACAGAGCAGCAGGGTGCACGTTGGTAATTTTAAGCAGTTCAGGGCAGCTGGAATAGGACTAGAATAGTTGATAGGTGATAGAGGTTAAGGAGAAGAGAGGAAAGACTTGACATGGATGAAGACAATAGAACCATACCATGGAAGGCTTTGCATGTCATTTAAGGAATAGTAACTTAGTCTGGTTTGTGTTTCAGAAAGATTCTCCTAGCAGCAGTCTGGAGTTTTGCGTGCTAGCTCATGAGCTGGTGAGATAGACTGCTCACGCACACAGGCAGACAGTCACCACCATGTTCTGGGGTGGTTGGTTGTTACCTCAGAGCTACTGCTACCATACCAGGTGCAGTGTGGTAATTATTAACCCTCTGGATGGGTTACTGTCCCCATGCAAAATAGGGGCCAGGCAGGTTTTAAGTCAAGTCATTAGCAATTTATTTTCTTTCAACTTACTATGCAAACCTGCAGCTGGGAAAGGTTAAATGACCCCTTCGTGGCAAGTCCCCTACCGAGCTTATTACAGACTGCTGGAGTCATGACTCCAGAACTGCAATGAACCTGGGGCGGACATGAATTTCAGTAGGACTAGTAATGGATGCTGTGGACTGGCTCACCCAGGATCCATTCCAGCCTCCTTAAATGCAAAGTCTGGACAACTAGAACCTAGGTTACCCAGACTCTTTTGTAGCTATGGTTTCACATGTGATTCAGGTTCCACTACTCATATGCACTCACACAAATACTTAAATTCTGATTCAAGTTAATTTGGGAAAGATGCAGGAATATCCATTCTGGGGAAGAAAAGCTGAACGTGAGGAAAGGAACTGATCAAAAAGTATTTTACAAAAAAAAAGAAAAAGAAAAACAACAAATGGAAAACTATAATCAATTGTGTTTACGCTAAAATGACATGAAGTGTCATTTATTAAAAGTGTAGCTTTGTGATACACTAAAATATTTACAGTTTTTCAGCTTAAGTATTTATCTACATGGAATTAAAATGGGATACAGTCTTTACCAAGGGTAATAAGTGTTTTCCTATTTAAAAAGTTGTTAGAGTAGATCTCTAAAGGTCCTTAATAGCACTATGATTCTTAGTTTCTAAAAGTAGCAAATAACTGATTCAAAGCTTCTTCCAGTTCACTCGTTTCAACAACAAAACCTTTGAATGCTCAAGTGTTAATTATTGTCTTAGCACAGAGGATACAAGATGAATTAAACATTGTTTCTGAAGAAATAAGTACAAGGTCATTAATTTCTCCTTATGATAAAAAAAATAAACAAAATACTGAAATAAATTAAAATTAGTGTAACATCTTATGTTAAAGGGCAGCTCTTTCCACAAAGATTATAGTAGTAATACTAGAATATTATATCTAGTTTAGTTATTGTACTTTATAAGGGATTCGGCTAGACTAGAATCTACTAGAATAGGATTACCAGAATAAGTAAATGGAAGCAATGTTAGGAAAATTATTTTACTTTTCTGAGATTTATCATATATAGGGGTTTTAAGGACACAATCCCCAGGTGCCATCCATGTTTGATACTCCATCAGTTCATGATTGTCTCTCCAGAAAAAAAGACTCTCTGTCTTCTGCTCTTTAATAAGATCACCCAATTCTACTGTTCCTTTGTTAGTTAATTAATTCCTTCAATAAGTATTTATTGAATCCTTATTAAGTGAGATATTGTGATAGATGGTATATTACTACATTTAGTGAGCCATGCCAGAGCATCCTCCATAAAGCCCCAACTCAAATATCTGAGACATGGATCTAGCCTTAGCATATGCTGATCTAACAGAAGAAAGACGTGTGATTCACAGAGACAATAAACACTCACCTACGAGGGGAATGGACCCTGCAGTCAGCACAAAAGGTGAAACCAACTATATTCAGTAAAAATTATCCCTTGAAAATACCCACAAAGTACAATGCTGTCCTATCTCTCAAGTTGACCACAGTCAGTGTTTCTGCTGGCATTGAAATGGGTCACTGATTCTTCAGTTAGGGACCAGAAAAAGTATTGGGCTTGGGCTTAAAACTCAAGTTATACAAAAAAACATGTGTTTTTAACACTAGAATCACCCTCCACATAAGATGACTACACTGTGAGAGGCAAGAAGGATGAGACCCACTGAGGAAATGCCAGTCTCATCTTCCATCTCACACCTTCCCCAGGGATTCATGGATTGGTACAACAGACAAAATCATCCTCACTCTTTATATCACCCTCGCTCTCTCTACAGAACACAAATAATTCCTGTTGAGTAATAATGCATGTATATTGCAGCTTCACTTTAACACATTAATAGCTACAACAGAATATGTACAAAGGAGAATGATGGCAGGAAAAGATTCATGAACTAGCTTCAGGAAATAAGGAAGTTGTATAGAGAAAGCTGGATCTTGAATACCAAATTGGCATTATCATCTGGTAGATAAGGAAATTCAGCAACAGAAATAGCAAATGCATCAAGACACAAGAACACAAAACAATAGAGCACCTTTGCTTAACTGTGAGCAGTCTGCCATTGCTGAGGCTTAATAGTGAAGTGGAGAATAATGGAACACCAGCCTGGAGAGAAAGGCAGAGGACAAGTTCATCAAGGACTTTCTATTATATGCTGCAACTCTCAGCTTACTCTCTCAAATCAGTGGTTCTGGGAATGTGGTGCCTGGACCAGCATCATCACTGCCACGTGGGAACCTGATAGAAACGCCAATTCTCAGGCCTCCCTGTAAGGAGAAACTCTGGGGGTGGGACCCAGTGTTCTGTGTTCAACACGCCCTCAGGTGAGTCTGATGCACGCTCCAGTTTGAACATCATTGCTTTAGAATGGCGGGGAGCCACTGAGGAGTTTTTAGCTGAGGAGAAACAGAATCCAGGTTAGACAAGCTTCAAAGCCTCCACTGTCTGTTACTTCATGCTGACTCTCATGTGTATTCATATATGGGGGGAGGGGTGGCCATCCATATTTTACACCAGGAGATAGACCTTGGTCTTCAGTTATTATGCAGAATCCTGTCACCTGCTTAAAGAGAATCTCACACATTGAGTTCTTTGTTTTCACCATTTCTAAGCTTATCTACAAAACTCCCCAAATTAGTTGAGCATGTGACAATAAATGACATGGAAGGTAGGGGAGAAAGGAATGAATGAAGTAGGAAGTCTGAGTAGGCTGATTTAGAGAACACTCACTTTTTAATCACGTAATAGGAAAAATCCTAAGTTTGAACCTCAGCCCCAATTCTCCACGCGCTGTTACGACTGCTCTTTCCCTTACTCACTCTCCTGATTTCAAGGGTTTCGTTTTCTAAATGTTCTAAAACACACTAACCTGAAGGTGGTGAAAGCTAACTTTGTAGTACCAGTCATCCATACGCAAAAAATATTTTCACACAAAAAAAGCAAGTGCAGGAAAATATTTTTACCATAATAAATTGCTGGTTCCACATTTCTTTGAGAAGAGGAGGGGGAAAAAAAACCCTGTGAATAATTAGTGAGGTTCTTGAACTGCCAGCCCGGCACCCCTGAAACTTACAGAGTGCCAAATTACTTAGCCGAACAATATTTAAATTAAAAACCAATGACTAGGTTAATTTAATGCATGTTTGTCTCTGGTCCAACTCTGTCTCTACTGATTGAGCTCCAAAATCTATATTTTTAACATGCATCCTAGTCAGTGAATGAAAAACATCTGAACACTCGAACACAAGTCAGTTACCAATAACAACTTCTTTTAATCTAAATTTTATTGTCATTTTAGATGTTTAACCATAAACTATTTACTGGACTATTCACCAGTGGGATGAAATGAATAATGCGCCACATAAAATGCATAGAAAACATCCTTAGTTAATAAAATGAGTTACATTAGGTAATTTGAGTGCTTTATGTTTGAGCTACCTAGAGCTCCAACAACATTTTTAAAGACCGATCTCTGGCCTGGAGGGTGTGGCTCAGTGGGCTGAGCATTGTCCCATATTCTGGTTCCATTCCCCTCATCAAGGCACATGCTCAGGTTGCCGGCTTGATCTCATGGAGGGCATGCAGGAGGCAGCCGATCGATGTTTCTGTCTCACATCGATGTTTCTCTTTCTCCTTTCCTCTCTCTCTAAAAAAATCAATTAAAAATATTTTTAAAAAATTTTTAATAAAATAAAAATTTTTTTTAAATAACAATCTCTGAGTATTTACATTTTTCCAGGGAACAATCCAAGCCCTTCATCCCCCTCATTCTCCAAATCTATGCCCTTTCTCTCTTTCTTTCTCTCTCTCACTCCTTACTGAACAATCCATCTAACATATATAACTCTTTTATAAAGCTGCAAGAAATTATAATAGTTTACAGATTTTTTAAAAGTGTGGAGAATCAGTCCAAAAAAAAGAAGTTATGGTAAAATTCCAAAGGCACATAGCTAAGCATGGTCTGGCAAACATATGACATACCTATCCTTGCAGGGAGGGTATAGAACAGGCCACCCCTTCAGCTTCTGCAAACCATAAATGTCACAAGCATTCTAAACCACCCACAGAGGACCAACCTAAATCTGTATGTGGGCTCATCTACTCAATCCCACAACAGTCACTGAGCATAAAACACACAAAATAAAACCAAAAGGAAAAAAATGTTTTCACACTATAGCACAGAAAAAAACGTAATAAGCAAACAGTTGTCCATAAAGAGATGACAGAAAGAAACCTCCCAGACACCACATGAAAACAATATCTGAATGTGAACCTGGCACCAGAACAAACAGAATGAAGTTATGAAAGCTAGGATTTGGAAAGTGCCATAATTATTTATAATAGCAGCAACTGTCCTGGATTCCCCTCATCAAAAAAATAACATGGAGGCAGGCTACCAGCCATCAATTTCTGGATCTTACAATGTGTCCCAAGGGTGTGATGGGGTAATGGAAAGAAATAGCATAGGAGCCAGAAAGCCTGATTCCTAGACCCATTTCTACCACAATCCAGTTATGGCGTTACCAGAAAAGGGACCTGGCCTGAGAGAGTCGGCCTAGGGCCCGCTGGTAGCGTGTGGGTTCTTGACTTTGCGTAGGAAAGATTTTACAATGTGAGTCCCAGTGAATTTTAGAGGACGTTTATTAAAGCTGGGGACAGTGAAACAAGGAAGGGTTGGGGAAATGAGCTTTGGCTCACTAAGAAGTCAGGTTCAGGGGGTTTGCCCAGGATGAATTGCCACTATCCTTTGCTGCGCTGGTTGCAAGCCTTTTGGGTCCCTTAGAGTTTAGGAGATGCTTGTAGGGGAAGTGGCTGGGGTCGGGGGGAGGTGCAAGCAAGCTCCTAGGACGGAGAGCAGGCGCTGGGACCTTTATCTTGAGGGTTTTTAAAGGCTGGGAGTTTAGGGGAGATCTCAGGGGAGGATCTCAACAGACTATTCATCAGCTTTATGCCGATGTACCAAAATGAGATTTATTCTCTTAACCTTACCTGTCCTTGGGTGTGGTTGGCAAATGGCACTAATTGGATTTATGCTCTCTCTCCCTGAGTTGGGTGATTTAAGTTATTTACCCTCAGGTTGGGGAGGAGAAGTGCAAACCATTTACTCTTAAGTGTCCTTGGTTTAGGGAAGATAGAGTTTACTAGACGGCTGCAAACTGCTGTTTAACTATCTGTCTCAGGTTCCCTATTCTGCTTGTCCTGGCTTGCTGGCCTGTCTCAATGGGACCTTGGACCTGATACAGAAGTCTCAGAAGTCTCAGAAATCTAGATGACCTGAGGGCCCTTTTAGATTGAGAACGTTATAGTTTATATTTACATTCTCGGACTTAGATTGTTGGGGGAGGTGCAGTAGAGGAGGGAAGGCAGAAGAGCAGAGCATTAGAAGGCTTATTTATTTCAAGTATCTCACATGGAAGATGTAGAAATAAAAACACAATCATCCTCAAGACGGTTTGGGAGATACAGAAGAAACCTATCCTTGGTCTCAGGAAATTTACAATGTAGCTCCTGAGATAAAATAAAGAGAAGGAATTAATCACATTTTCTTTAGTTGGAAAAGTCTAATCTGCCACTTAATACTTACATGCCCTGTAAAATATTCCCCAAAATGTTTTCCTTACCTATACCTGACTATCTCCAATCATGGGGAATTTATTCCTTCCCAAGCCAACCCATTCTATTGTTAGAAAATGAACATTAAACATCTTTCTTCTAGTGAGTAATAATTGAATTCCTCAGAAATGGTGGAGGCCCTGGTTTTGCCCTCCAGCTCCATAGAATATGTTAACTCCTCTTCCTCAATCAGATCTTCAGATGTTTGGAAACAGCTGCTCCATTCCCACCCCTTCTACCCATTCCCCACCAAGTTCAATATTCAAACTTCTTTCAGCCCTTCCTCATCTGACGTGGTTTCAAGAGCATTCATTAGCTGAGTCTACCTGAGTCCGGTTTGGCAGAAAACTCTTAATATATGGCACCATGAGTGGAACACAATATTCCAAATGTGGTCTGACAGTTATATCCAAATCAAAACAAAACCAAAAAAACAAAAAACAAAAAAAACATGTATTGAGTGCCTTCTGTGCTCCAGACTAATATTTTTCTTGATCTTAACTATACTTTCATGAATGCACCCTAAAAACACATTAGCTTTGTTTGTTTTAGTCCATTTCAGATGATCATGATAAAACTGAGACCAGATTCTGTTATCCAAACTATCAGGTTGCTCCTCTGCTGCCTGTTCTATAGTCATTACAGTGTAGTAGGGCAAGTCATTTACTAGCTCAGTGACCTAAAATGGGAAACACACTGGTTCACTTGCGTTGTTTCATTCAAGTCTCTGTTAAAAATAATTTTTCAAAGTCAAAGCCAATGACAGATTTGTGTGGCACAGAAGATTATCCTTTGGTTAATAATGATCCGCCAATCTAATTAAAAAGTGACTGTCCCTTGTGTTTCAGGAATGGAAGATGAGATGGTAGTTAGTGAAGGAAAAGGAAAGAGAAGTACCAGTTCTGGGCCAGGCACTTCATACAGACTATCGCATTTCGTAACCAAATGTAAGACAGTTATCTTGTTTTCATAGAAAAAAAAAATTAAATAATTAAGAAATGTGTCTAAGATCACAAGGGTAATGAGTGGAAGAGCTGGGCTCATCACAGTTCTGTCTCTGCCCTATTACTGACCAGTACACTGAAAGACGAGCGCAGGAAGAATACATTTGGTTGGGGAAGGGGTAGTTTGGAGGAGGCAGGAAAGAGTGTGTAGGCATAAGTAGCATGAAACTAGAGATAAAGCTAGAAAGTTAGGTTGAGGCCAAATTGCAAAGGGTCTTGAATTCCATACTTAGGAATTTGGACTTTAATCTGTAGGCTACTAAAAGTCAATCCTACAGGCTATGGTTAGTGAACCCATTCAAATATTTGAAAACTAATTTCATAGACAATATTTAGGGCTTTGGAGATTTTTACAAAGGCAGCATAAGTGGAGCACGTGTTGGGTGCATTGTTTGAGATAGGGTTCAGAGGGATGGCTTTCTGAACAGAAGTGATTTAAATCAGGAAGAAAGTGATACAGACATCTCAGGGAAGAGTATTCCAGGCTGGAAGGTCCTGAGTACACTTGGCATATTCATGTTTCAGAAATATGAAGACGCTAATTAGGCTAGAAAATAATTAACAAGGGGAAAATAAGTAGGCAATAACGATCAAGGGATGGCGAGAGCCAGATCATACAGGCTTTTGGATTTCATTCTTAGTGTAATGAGAAGGCACTAAACAGAGTTTTGAGCTGAAGGTAACATGATTCAATTTATTATTATTACTTATTGAAATCATAATATTATTACTTATTGAAATCATAATATTGAAATCATAATATATATAATGTTCCCTAACATACCTGCCTATAACTATACCAAAAAAAAAGAAATTAGTTTGGCATATTTATACACAGTAAACCCATGTTGGCTTCTAATTCTTAACTAAGCACTGATAAACCTAACATCACTAATCTGTTCTAGAATCTGACCAGGAACTTGGTTTAGAATCCATCATTCCTCCCTACCAAAAATTCTTTTTGGAAACCTGTGACATTTCCCCTTCTCCCATCTGTGATGTGAAGCATGGGGAGTTAATAGGAAGAGTGTGTGGTACCAAATGGAGAGAGAGAGAGAGAGAATGAGAGAAACATCAACGTGAAAGGGACACATCGACTGGTTTCCTCCCGCACAACCCCAACCAGAGCCGGGGACAAACTGCAATCAAAGTATGTGCCCTTGACCGGAATCAAATCCGAGAGTAATTGGTCCATAAACTGATGCTTTAACCACTGAGCCAAACTGGCGAGGGCTGAAAATAATTCTTAAAAGTGTGGCCATTTTGAGAGGTAAGGTCACAAAATGTGATGAACAGGGGAGCCCTTCACCTGTCATGGCTGCATCCACCACTCTTTCCAAGTCCCACTGCTCTTCCATATGGTTTTTTTAATTGAATTTATCGGGGTGACACTTGTTAATAAAATTATATAGGTTTCAGGTTTATAATTCTACAATACATCATCTCTATATTGTCTTTTTTAAGTTTCACAAAAATAATTTTTGCAGGAAGAATAGAGAATAAAGAGCCTAGAAGAAAGACTACATAATCTGGAAGAGCAAAATTCTGAAACTTGTGTGACACCGCTGGTTTTTTATATTACACAACTGGACAATGGAAGTTGAAGAGTCAGGGCAAACAAGATTCGAAAGGTATCCTGTAATGTCGTTCAGGCCAGTTGCTAGAAGGGGAGAGGATGACTTGGTGTCTCAGCCTACGCCCCACAATGGCCCCAGAGACCCAGCTGTGCCAAAGGAAGGTGAAAGAACAAATTCTTCTGGGAAAAACACTTCACACAACAAACATGCATGGATAGATACCTCCATAAAAAAACCAACCTAAGTAACAAAGTACATGTAGTACTTTTCCTTAAAAAGACATTTTTCGTGGTTAGATTTTTTTAAATATGTTTTTATTGAGAGAGGAAGGGAGAGAGAGAGACTGAAAGATCAATATGAGAGAGATACATCGACCGGCTGCCTCCTGCACACCCCCTATTGGGGATTGAGCCTGAAACCTGGACGTGTGCTCTGACCAGGAATGGAACCCATACCTCTCAGTCCATGGGACGACGCTCAATCCACTGAGCCACACCAGCCAGGCTCAGTGGTTAGATTTTAAGAGACTTCACATTTTATGGTCCATTAACTTTAAAATTACTTGTGACTTTTTATATTCTAAATTTTGCCTGGTAAATATTTTAATAAAATTGTTTTTGTGTTTTTATAACAATAATAAAAGCCTTTTCTTTCGAACTTTCTTTTATCTGACACTTCTGATTAACTTTACATACAATATAAGAGATTTTATGCACCCACCCCCATTTCACTTTCCCCAAACCTTCAATGCTTCACTCTATCAATTACTGCTGTCTGTCTGGAAATCGATTATTTGGCATCCTCCTATGTCTATTTACTACTGATATAAAACTCTAGTTGCCTTAAACACAAATTACATTTTAATATCTACCCAAGAGGAGGAGAATAATTGCCTAAAGCAAGAAATTTAGTTTCTTAAATTTTTTAATATTCTATCCTTATTACCTCTGTTCAAAACCTAAAATGGTGCCAAGTACAACTATCAGACTTAGTACAGGACTCTTTTGATGATTAGAAAAACTCCAGCTTTCTTCAAATAATTCCTAAAGATGACTTGAACCCAAATTATTAACTCCATAAAGACACAAACCTTACCTAAATCCTTTAATTAATATGTATTTTTAAAACCGTCACCTGATCCTGTCTGGTATAGCTCAGTGGTTGAGCATCAACCCATGCACCAAGAGGTCACTGGTTCGATTCCCGGTCAGGACACATGCCCAGGTTGTGGGCCAAATCCCCAGTGGGGGGCATGCAGGAGATGGCCAATCGATGTTCTCTCTCATTGATGTTTCTATCTCTCTCTTCCTCTCCCTCTAAAATCAATAAAGAAAAAAAAATTTTTTTAATTGTCACCTGAGGATATGCTTATTGATTTTAGAGTGAAGAATGGTGAACAGGGGGAGAGACAGAGACAAAGACATCAATCAGTCGCCTCCTGTACAAGCCCCGCCTGGGGATTGAACCTGAAACCTAGGTATGTGCCCTGACCAGGAATTGAACCCACAACTTTTCTGTGCAAGGACGATGCTCCAACCAACTGGGCCACACCAGCCAGGGCTATATTTTTTAAAAATATTATACCTGATAAATTTTTCTTACAAGACAACCCAGTGATTACAATACTTTGCTTTGACAATATATTCAATAGAACATAATAATACACTCACGGGAAGGCTTAGAAATTCATTAAAGTAGTCCACAAGTAAATTATCTGTTGCCAAAGAATCTTCCTGCAAAAAAAAAAAAAACATAATATTATGCTTATACTAAAACATTTAAGATATTTTAAAACATGCCAACAAGGGGGAGGGGGAAATCAGTGAGGGGAAAAGGAGAAACATCTGTAACAAAAAATAATTAATAATAAAAACAAACATGCCAACATTATTCTCTAATTCTGTTATCAATAGATTATATATAGATCTTCAAATCTCTCAGTCGGTCAACACTGAATCCTCACTATAAGCAGAACATGGTGCTACAATCTCTGGAAGGAAGAAGCTGGAAAAGAGAGTGGGGCATCCCCTTAAAAGACCTGACACTGTACTTAGCTGGAGAACAAGTGGAAAATACAGCACACTTAAATGAAACATCAACAAATACAAACACTATACATGGTAAACTTCCCACAGACTTATTAAAATATATATTTAATAAAAATAAAGGCAGAGCAATAAATACAGAACCAGTGATTGGGGTTAACATGAAATCGCCTAATGAAAGTGATAAGCTAAGCAAAGAAAATACGCTACTGCTTCCCTCTCAGAGAGAGATACAGCTTCGGGAATCTGGGTCCTGCTTAACTTTTGCACAAAGCAGCTTTGACAATGCATGTGTTCAAAGAATAAAGATTGTATACATTTTTTCCGTAACTATTTTATCCCCCAACATAGTCACTATTAAAGTTGGCAAAATTGTAAAGCCACTGCCAAGAGCAAATTCTCTCTTCCAAATAAAACACCTTATTTTATTAGTAATTGTTTCCATTGTGTCAAAAGCACAACATGGCATACTCTGTTGTATAGTACATGTGTTTATTTTGTTATTCATAATTATATTTCAGTTTCACAAATCTAACATGAAAGTTGACAATATGACACAATGGTATTATTTCCATATGGCTGATTGTTTTCCTTTTATACTGGCCAATTTTTTAAAATTGTGTCGAAGCATAGTGTAAAAATATAAAAAAGATACTATAGCTTATTAACACCTACTTTAAAAAATAGATTTCCAGAGTGATTTCTTTAAGTAATTGTAGTATCGAAATAGAGTTATAATCACGGGATTTATACCAAGGAAATTACTAAAAATCTGAACTGATTAAAACAACAACAACAACAACAACAACAAACTTAGGATCTCATAAATCTACCATCCAAAGATTGTAGTGGCATCTTAGTAATACATCCTCAAACTTAACAAGGCAGATAACATTTGGTGGCAGGTATAAGGTGAATAACCTTTCAAATTGTACCTTTCCAAGTTACTTTAATTTTCTGGACTTTATGTAGAAGTATGTAGAAACTACATACTTTCTGCTAACTCTTAGGAGAAATCAATTGAGTTCAATAAATATTTTTGGATCTCTTAGGTAGGAAGCATTGTGCCACAAGGACGGCCAAATTTTCACTAGTGGGCTCAAGATCACAAATCTGCAGATGGGAAGAGTATTATTCTTTTTTAACAGTAGTGGAGTACAGTTCCTTGTTAGCTTTTTTAAAATAGATATTTTTTTATTTTTAGGTATAAAACAGAATGTATACAGGCCAATATCCCTGATGAACATAGATGCCAAAATCCTGAACAAAATACTAGCAAATCGGATCCAGAAATACATCAAAAAAATTATTCACCATGACCAAGTGGGATTCGTTCCAGGGATGCAAGGCTGGTACAATATTCGCAAATCAATAAATGTGATACACCACATAAACAAAATGAAGAATAAAAACCACATGATCATATCAATAGACGCTGAAAAAGCATTCGACAAAATCCAGCATCCATTTCTGATAAAAACGCTCAGCAATGTGGGAATAGAGGGATCATATCTCGACATAATAAAGGTCATATATGAAAAACCTACCGCCAACATCACACTCAATGGGCAGAAACTAAAAGCATTTCCCTTAAGAACATGAACAAGACAGGGATGCTCACTTTCACCACTCTTATTTAACATAATACTGAAAGTCTTAGCCACAGCAATCAGACAGGAAGAAAAAATGAAAGGGATCCAAATTGGAAAGGAGGAAGTGAAACCGTCATTATTTGCAGATGACATGATATTATACATAGAAAACCCTAAAGACTCCATCAAAAATCTACTAGACTTAATAAATGAATTGGCAAAGATGCAGGATACAAAATTAACATCAAGAAATTGACAGCATTCTTGTACACCAATGATGAACTCACAGAAAGAGAAACTGAAAAAACAATCCCATTTACCATCGCGGCAAAAAATTAAGATACCTAGGAATAAACTAAACCAAAGTAGTAAAGGACCTATTTACAGAAAACTACAGGACATTGAAAAATGAAATAGAGGAAGATATAAAAAAGTGGAAGCACATACCCTGTTCATGGATTGGAAGAATTAACATAATAAAAATGTCCATACTATCCAAAGCAATCTATAGATTCAATGCAATCCCCATCAAAATACCAACGACATGTTTCACAGAACTAGAGCAAATACTTCAAAAGTTCATATAGAACCAAAAAAGTCCCCGAATAGCCACAGCAATTTTGAAAAACAAGGACAAAGTAGGTGGGATCACAATACCAGATATCAGGTTATACTACAAAGCGACTGTAATCAAAACAGCCTGGTACTGGCACAAGAACAGGCATATAGACCAGTGAAACAGAACTGAAAACCCAGAAATGGACCCAAGGCAATATGCTCAATTAATATTTGACAAAGGTGGCAAGAGCATACAGTGGAGTAAAGACAGCCTCTTTAATAAATGGTGTTGGCAAAATTGGACAGCTACATGCAAAAAATGAAACTAGACCATCAACTTACACCATACACAAAAATAAACTCAAAATGGATAAAAGACTTAAATGTGACCCGTGAATCTATAAAAATTCTAGAAGAAAATGTAGGCAACAAAATTTCGGACATCATACGGAGCAGAATTTTCACTGATACACCACCTAAGGCAACAGAAACAAAGGAAAAAAATGAACACATGGGACTACATCAAACTCAAAAGCTTCTGCACAGCAAAAGAAACCACCACCAAAATGGAAAGGCAATCCACTGTAGGGGAGAACATCATTGCCAATGATATATCAGATAATGGGTTAATTTCCAATATATATAGAGTGCTCATACAACTCAACAAAAGGAAGACAAATAACTCAATTAAAAAATGGGCAGAGGAGCTGAATAGACACCTCTCCAAACAGGACATACAAATGGCCAAGAGACATATGAAGAAATGCTCATCATCACTAATCATCAGAGAGATGCAAATTAAAACAACAATGAGGTATCACCTCACACCTGTCAGAATGGTCGCCATCAACAAATCATCAAACAAGTGTTGGCGAGGGTGTGGAGAAAAGGGGACTCTAATACACTGCTGGTGGGAATGCAGACTGGTGCAGCCACTATGGAAAACAATATGGTGTTACCTCAAAAAATTAAAAATTGAACTTCCATTTGACCCAGTGATCCCACTTCTAGGAATATACCCTAAGAAGCCTGAAACACCAATCAGGAAGAATATATGTGCCCCATGTTCATAGCAGCACTATTTACAATAGCTAAGACCTGGAAACAGTCCAAATATCCATCAGTAGACGAATGGATAGAAAAGCAGTGGTACATATACACAATGGAGTACTATGCAGCGGTAAGAAAGAAAGATTTCTTATCCTTTGAGACGACATGGAGGGACCTGGAAAGTATCATCCTAAGTGAAATAAGCCAAGCAGAAAAAGACAAATACCACATGATCTCACTTATATATGGAATATAATGAACATAACAGTCTGAGGAATACGGTAGACCCAGAAACATGGAAGTAGGGCACAGACTGACATCCCTCAGAAGACGGGGTGGGGGGTGGGAGGAGCTAAACCACAGAACTTATATGCATGTATGCATGACCAATGGACCTGGACAACAAAGCCAGGGACAGGGTGGGGGTGGGGGTGGGGTAGGGAGGGGGGTGCCAATGGGGTAAAAAAGGAGAAACATCTATAACAAAACAATAAATAAATAATTTAAAAAAATAAAAATAAAATAAAATAATAAAACAGAATGTATCTTTCATAGTCAGGTAGACTTCTTATTGCCTAGAATCTGGCCAGCCACCCTGCCAAAAATTTCTAGATAATCTTCAGACTCATATATTCATTTCCAGATGACTCACACTTCTGAGAGACTCTTGACACTTCAAACCATCTGTGATGAAGTACCTGTTTTGTTTTGTTCCTAATCTATTTCAGATAACTTTTATAAAATACAGTAAGAATGTACTAGAAAATGAAATAAAATATATACACAATAAAATTTTTTTAAAATTTAGTTCAATAGACCCATTTTAAAAATTAAGTTCAATAGACACAAACATACTCTGTCAAATTATCATAAAATTTCTAAATGTTTACTCTAAATTTTGAACTCATCTGGACAGGGCCTGTAAGTTTCAGGAGGCACCAGTCCACACCTCAAGTACTACTGGCACTGCTGTAGCCCTTGCTGAGTAGTTTGCTTTGGGCTCCCTGAGGCTGCCCATGAAACCGAACCACGCTGCTGGAGCATTTCCTTGGCAGGCAGTCACGTCCTCAGGTTTGCACTCACAACAGTGGAAACTTACAAGCATTATTCAAATACATCAAAAGTTGTATTTCTTCTCTGAAATTGTACCTTAATTTTTACCAATATTCAACATTGGAGCTTCTGCTGGTATCAGGGCAGGTTGCAATGAAAATAAGTGTAGTCTACAAGTGCCCTCTGCTCAATCCTCTGGCCGCACTTCAGTGGGAAGGCCTGCGCTTCGCTAACCACACGAACGTGTTTTCCCATTGCAATTCCTGCTAGTTCAATGTGTTCGGTTATCGTGTCACATTAGTAACAAATGGTGTTGGGAAGCAATGAGGATCTGATAAAGCCATTATTCTCAAACCCTTTAATTAAAAAAAAAAATGTTCAACACCTTGATCTGAAGAAGCAGCTCAGTTAATCTCAGTGAGTTTCCACAATCCA